AAAAATGGCCTAAAAATGCCCCAACATGACCTTGGCTGCTTTCTAGGCCATTTTGAAGTGGTGGCCTAACTTTTGCAAAATTGGATTTTTAGGCCCCCACTTTAAAAAAATGGCCTAAAATGCATTAACATGACCCTGTTATGCTTTCTAAGCCATTTTGAAGTTGTCGCCTAGAAAACCAAATTTGCAAAAATTAGGCCACCACTTTAAAATGACAAAATAAACAAGAAAATACTGTCAGCAACGCGCGAAAAACTGAAACAAGTCGCTAATGACACTCCGGAATTCCGCACCACGCATTGTTCAGCACATTCCTCGAAAAATTCCTCGAGGAATTCCTCGAAACATTTTTCTCGAGGACTTTTTTTCGAAATTTTTTTTTCGAGAAATTTTTGTCGAAATTTTCTCGAAAATTTTTCGAAAAAGGCATTTCTCGAGAAATTTGTTTACTAAAAGACACACTGAGGGAATTGTGATAATTGAGCTCAACGTTCGAGTCTTCAAAAAAATTGTACTCACCGAACACTGAATCATCATATAGGCAGCAGGTACGATGATACTCCAAAGCTTCAGCAAACTTTTCCTTCCATTCTTGACTGCCCTCAACAAGAGGATCGGTTTGGGTTCGGACCACGGCCTTCTTTTCTTGAACTCTGTTTCTTCGAACAATCTCCATCTCACGTTTTGGGTTTTTGCATCGTCGAGCCCTTTCAATTTTTTGCTTGTTAACCTCTTCTTCGTAATCAGAGGTTTTTTCTGGAAATATATTTTTTTCATGGTGATTTATCTTTTTTTTCGATACCTTCATCTGAGTTCCTTTCTTCCGAAGATTCTCGCCATTGACAAGGAGCTGGACGTTTTGACGTGGTAGGAGCCAAAGTTGTTGACGGACCGGCTTCTGAAAATGACGAATTGATAAAAATCGTCTAGCAAGAATTGTCACCATCTTCTTCAGAATCCGTAAACAGCTCCACGGTACTTGGATCAATGGGCTGTGAAATTTTAGGATAACTTTTTTGAGATTCGGCTGATTTTGGGAGAGCAACTAGAATAACGTTTGATGAAGTTGAAGAAGTAGATTGTGAAGCAAAGGATGTTGTATCTGAAACATTCCAACTAATCTTTTTTTGGCACTTGAAAAGGTTGCATACCGTTTTAGCTCTAAAAGAAGCCCACCCTGTACATGCACTTTGAGCTCAACTATCTTGTTTCTCATAAGTAATGACAATCTGTTAACTGGTAAAAATTGATGATATTATGGTAAAGAATTTTCCAGTCGACATATGTTTTATATCTCTCAAAGGAACCTGGAAAACTGAGCTCAACGTATACGTATAGGGTGGGCTTCTATTAGAATCAGTAATTTTACCCACCTGCGTCCTCATGGCATAATTGCTCCTGTTTTCTTTCCTCAGCGTTTCCATCTGTCTCTTTCTCCTCTTCTTCATGTTCCTCTTTTTGTAACATTGGCATTTCGGGGTCCACAGGTGTGTCCTCTAGTTCTTGAGCTTCTGCAAACTTGATACTAATATTCCTGTTAATGAGAATGAGACACTCACCATTCACAATTTTCATAATCACTCCAACCGCGGCTCGAAGTTGATGTTCTGAAAAATTGTTTTTTTTTGTTTTCTGTAACTATTCATGAAATTCCTACCGAGATCTGGTCTGCCACGACACACCTCGGCAAACCCCTGTTGGACAATTGAGCAACCGATACGGATTCTCGTAGCTGCTTCTTCGAAACTCTTAGGATCGGTGGGAAGATTCATAATGGGATCTAAATTGAAATGCTGAAGTTTGGTTTAAGAAAGGAAAATTGTGAAAAACAAAGAATTTTAGATAAAAAAGTGAGCAACTGATAAATTATTCACTACAATATCACGAAACATTTATCAGGTAACCAAATTTGGACATCTACCATAGGAACCGAGATAATTGAGCTCAAAGTGCACATATCGGGCAGGCTTCCATCAGAGCAAAAACGGTAAACAACGACATCATGCGAAACAAGATTTTCCTTTTTTTAAAGTGTATAATTTAGTTTTGAGTAGTTTGAAAATGTCAAAAAGGGCAAATAGTAAAGTAAATAGGTTTCTCACATGTCTGGAGTTGTCTGGAGTTAGGCGCTTTCGATCGGGAAAAAAAACTATAAGCGACAACTTTTCCCTCACTTTTCAAGAAATTAAAAAGATAATTTAATTAAAAATATCTCAATTTGTGCCCGACTTATAAGTCTAAAAAGACCATTACTTGGCAAGTAGTGTGTATGTTCCAGACAAGTTAGAAGTCTATGAAAAAGTAATGAAATAGGTTTTCGATTTTACTATACAACTACAGTATCCTACAAAGTACAAAAAAAAAGGATTTCAAACAATAAATATTTTCCAAATAACTAAAAGTCCAAAACAGAATTTCGTTCTTGACAAAAAAAAAAGGAAAAAAGCTCAAAATGCCGAACAAGGTCGTAAAATGCACATCAAACAGGAGAGAGGAAGACTAGTGAATGAAAATGGCAAGTGTAACGAGAAAGGATTTTCCCTTTTTTGAGGGCATTAGCTACATAAAATTGACGTTTTTTGGCATTTTTTAGTAGAGGCATTAGTGAAATGAAATAGAATCTGGAGGACTAGGATTCAGGGAGATTTCTCTGAGATCAAGATGGAGAAAAAAAGTTCTGTGATCGAATTGTAAGATTCTAGATTTTACTCATTCTGGTCTTCTGAATATGTTCAAAAAAAGTCTGTGAATGCTGTGGACTAGACAGAAAATCAGCAAATTTGGTGATATTTACAAAAAATACCAGAATTCGAAAAAAAAGTACACAGGTGCCATCTAAAAGTTTTATACAAAATATGTAGCCAGTGAAAAAAGAAAAATAGGCCTAGATATAAAAAGTGGGAGCACATCAAAATATGAAGACTTTTCAAGGGTGTTGGTCACGCAGTAGACACTAATACTCAAATGAAAACTAAAAGGGCGGGGTCACAAAAAGCTGTGCCTCACCACCTGTGACATGCAAGTAGATCGACAACAAGTGCGTTAACAACCTAACGAGCAACGAAATGTGTGCACAAATGAGCAGTGGTAATGTGCTCAAAAGGTCGGAATTCAAAAAAAGATAATACCTGGATACTGTTGTGGCAGTGTTGAAAAGCGCAGGTTTTATGGATTAATCATCATCCCCGTGTGGTTGAAAAAAGGACCACATTAGGATTGTACCGCAATAATATCGCCCCTATCTGATCTTTGAAGTTTTTTATTCTAACTTTTCTTATTTGGAAAAAGAAAAAAGATACTGTGCGCCATCGATGCAACAGCGTAGCTCAGCTGCTCGTCACCTGTAACTATTCCCCAGCCATTTCCACATCTGGAGGGGTAAAATAACGTTTTTCCTTTAATAGAAGCCCCCCCCCCCCCAAACCTTCAACTTTGAGCTCAATTATCTCGAAACTTGTGAAAGATATCAAAAATGTGTCAACTGATAAATTGTTGCTGATATTCTGATAAACATTTTATCAGTTGACAGTTTTTTGATATCTCTTACAGAAATTGAGATAATTGAGCTCAAAGTGAAAGTGAATAGTATATTTTCCAATTTTTTTTTCGATTTTCGCCCTCAAAATAAGCCAACAAAGAATGTGTGATTAACGCAAAAAAGGAATGGAAGACAAAAAAAATGAAGGAAATGAAAAAAAATCCGGAAATAAGACCCCGAGTAGTAGAAAAATGTCTTCCGCTTAGTCTGAGAAATCAAGCAAGCGTTTTTTCGGCAAATGTGGAAGTTTGTTTTTTTAGTCAGATGTTTCATTTTTTGAGCAAACTTAATTAACAATATAAAACAACGAAAAAACCGGAATTCAGTTCTGGGAAAGAGATTTGAACACAAAGTTGAAAATAGGATAAAAAATGTTGGGCACAATTATCAATTACCAGTGAACTTTCTGGGACGACTGGTTCGCTGGAAGCGAATGAATCCCGCCTTCACCTGCACCATGAACTCCTCAAACACCATCTCCTCCTTCTTTTTCCACATGCTCCTAGCGTCCTCGGCGAGACATTTCCACTCCAATTCTATAAATACCCACGCTATTTAAAACCGGGTTTATCATTAAACTCACTAGCATTTTTCGAGCTGGTCGCACACTTTTCCCGTCTCCAGGCACAAAATAGATCCATATCAGTGCATGCTCTGAACGGAACCTCCTGTGGCATGGACCGACTGGGAACTAGCGGCTGGAAAAGACTGAGGCACATCAGGTTGGCTGAAATTGTATGTTGTTTGAGAGATTCAAAGAACTAGGATACCCAGAAATATGTCATTTTGGACTGGTGAGCTCTGATGGTGCTTCAGTGCTTCTTCATAACGCTGCTCGCACTCCGCGGTCCCTGGTAGAAGAGCTGGCTTTGGGATAAGCTTCGCTTTTTGGCGATTTCTTCTGTCAAGAAGCAACCTCTTGATCTGCTTGGTAGAATGTTGCACAGGACCTTCTATAAATTAGGTTTTTAGAAATTTTTAGAAAAAAAAAATGTTTACTCACGTTGATGATACTTGGTGCCAGCAGAAATGCCGATTGAGGAGAGCGACGGTGTTGTAGAAGAAGAGCATGTTGATCCCTCATCGTCTGCAGGAATCCCGCTTGGCTGGTTCCAGAGATATGGCATAAGCCAACACAAAGGTAGCATGTCTGGAAAACATATTTTTTGCAATTAAATGGCTACAGGTTTCTTACTGTTGGTGGGAAGTCCAGCAAGAGCTTGTGGCGCTGAGCCGACAGCTGGAACTCCGCTGGTTCGCTGTTGATCATTGGTGCCAGGAGAAATACCGATAGAGGAGAGCGACGGTTTTGTCGAAGATGAGCTCACTGATCCTTCGTCGTCTGTAGTAACCCCGTTTGGTTGGTTCCAGAGAAATGTCATCATCAAACACGAATTGAGCACATCTGGATAATAAATTTTCTATAATTAACTCGCTATAAGATCTTACTATTGCTGAGAAGTCCAGCAGCAAGTTGATGCGCTGATCCAATGGCTGGAACTTCTTGTGCTTTACTACCTGCTAACAACTCGGCTATGCTGAATGGTTGGCGTTCCATGATTAGCTGAAAATTGACAACTTCAAGATTAATAGAAGAGCACTGAATATAAAGAATACAGAAGAAGAAACAATCCGCCTAAAATATATACCGTCAAATCTCTAATAGAAGGACTGTCTAGTTTGAGCTTAATTATCTCAGTTCCTATGCAAGATATCAAAAATGTGTAAACTGATAACATGTTTCTGATATTATAATACACATTTTATCAGTTGACTCCTTTTTGATATCTATTACAAGAACCGAGATAAATTGTTTCAAAGTTAAAAGATAGGGTGCTCTTTTATTACAGGTTTTACAGTAAATTTTGCGAAATAATACCAAGAAGCATTCAAATCGGTATGACATAGAATACAACATAACACCGCGGGTATTGCATAGAAGTCCCGTCGGGTGCGTATGTGTGTCTCGGGGCAAACGAATGGGCAAAAAAAAACAGAAACTTATTAGAGAGATTGGTGTGAATACGCATTCCATACTTTTTTTTTTGAAAGAGGTTGGTTAGTGAACACGAAAAAAAATGGATGGGGACAGATGGTCATGACAGATGAAGTTTAGATTTTTTAGGGCTAACGAGATTGCAAAAAAATTGGAATAATGACAGCTGGAAAAACGCTTTAAAATGTTTTAGTCAAAAATAACGCCACTGAAAGGCTTGAGCCAGATTATCTCGTGTCTTTTCAAAGATGTAAAAAAGTTGTCAACTAATAAAATGTTACTGATATTATGATAAGTAATTTATCAGTTGACAACTTTTTGATATCTCTTACAGAACAAAAGATATGTGAACCCAAAGTTGTCAGTTCCACGGGTAGAGCGGGACCGCCGAAAAGGGGATGCCTGGCGGGAGGAGAACAGACGGCAGTCGTTTCGTTCGCTTCCGACAGTCCGTCTTCGCGCCATTCGATCTGTTTGTTTCTCTGAATCTCTCGGATAGTAACACTATTTTTTTTTCTTGTTTCTTGACCAAGACAACATCTGTGTCCTGTAAAAACATAGATGGGGCATTTAACAAGTTATTTATTGGAAAAATAAAAAATTATGGAAAAATCTCAGAACAAAAAGCATTAGGAAAAAGCTGTATAGGAGAGCACCAAAAAATCTTCAGTTTTCTGACCGAAAAACTAGAAAACTCCAACGAAAATCATAAAATTTGTAGTCTTTTCGAGACCCCTTGAAGTCGCTTTCTTTTCGAACTTTCATTGACCATCACAACGATATAGCCGGCTTCCTTTTGTTTGACGTGCTCCGTGAAGAGGTCAGATGCTCGTTTTGCCCATTCTTTATAGAAATCGAAGTCCTTTGAGAGCTCTTTCCATTCTTTTTCTGGAAAGAAAACCATTTTGTTTTAGTCCAAATTTCAGATACTTACTGGCTTCATCGATGTGCACATTATCCTCCAAACGCCATTGCTTATACATCATGGCTGCGTCCACTGGATTCACCACTTTTTGGGGGATAGCATCCAAACGTTTGGGATCGAATAAAGAGGTACGGCAAACTGAAAAACTTCAAATTCAGTGTTTAGCGCTTCTAAGCTCACCGATTTTCTCATCATGATAGATTGGAGAAGTTCTAGCTCTCTCACAAGCTTCCACCCATCGTTGAATGTATTCTCTGGATCCAAAGAGCACGGGAGGAGCTATGATCATGGATTTGTGATATTTGGTTCGGAAGCTACGGTAGCTGAAGAGCTCCTTCATCGTTTGGAAATCCGGGGTTCCTCCGAGCTCCAAAGGAGATATTGCCTTCTTTGGTCTTCTGGTTTTCTTGACCTCTAGAAATGAATTGAGTTCAGGAGAAGCTAAGACACACAAAAACCTAATATTCGTTAATTTTCGGATATTTTGAACATTTTTAGATGTCTGGAGCCAGCCTGTTAAGTTACCAATCACTTTGAACTTTGGACGCTGTAAAACTGATCTAACAATAATTTGAAAATTTTGCATTTATAGAATTTTTAAGAAAAAAAAAAATAGCTGAAAAACTAGGAATTTTTTTAAAAAATTCTATAAATGCAAAGTTTTCAATCTAAAGATGTTTTAGACCCTCCAAAGTTCCCAAAAGGATAGGAAACTTGACAGCCGAGCTATAAACCTAAAAACCTAAAAATGGTCAAAATGGCCGCAAGTCAACTGAAAATATGTTTTTGTATATCTTACTGTACCTTGAGGAACTGGAGACAAATTTGATGACATGGAGCCAGAAAATCTAGCCACTGGAAGCGGACTGGTAATAGCTCCAAGAGTTCCGAGAGTAGATGAACCAATGTTATCAGAAACTGAAAATTCAAAAGTTCTAACGGTATTTAAAACTAGAAACTTACCCAAACCAGACACTGGCAAAACGGGAAACTCGGAAGTTGGTGTCACGGACTTTAGCAGGTCCAAGAGTTGTTGAACTGAAATCTTCAGCTATTTGATTCTTTTTCAAATTAACCACTGTCAAGTTTAAGCTCAATTATCTCAATTTCTATGCAAGATATCAAAAACGTGTCAACTAACAAAACATTCCTGATAATTTAATAAAAATTTATCAGTTGACAACTTTTTTGTATCATTGACAGACACCGAAAAAGGGGCCCTTTTATTACAGGTTAAAAGGTACTCACGATTGTCTGGGGTACAGAATATTGAGCTTGAGATGACACCTTCATTCATCTTCGTTCTGAAAAGAGCAAAAAGTCTAGTTTACACCAAGTGGAAGGAAAAAGAAATTTGACATGAGGAGCATCCAACCAAAAACAGAGAAATTCTACGCGAGTGGTCGCGACCAGAGTGCTAACTACCCAATTTTGCGCGCTCGTCTCCAAAAGAGGACACCCTTTTTCATGAGGTCTTCCTTTTGAAATCTGACAGAGACAGAAAAAGGATAATAAAACGAAATGAGGTGGGGTCGTTTTAGTTTTGACATTTTCGAATCTTTGGGAATTCGACATCCTAAACAAAGAATCATTGATCAGAGCCAATTGTGGAAAACTCGAATATTTAACCAGTCAACCCGTTTTTATACTGAAAACATGAAAAGAATAGGTGTCTTTCAGAAAAAGGCACAAAGCTAAAAAATTAGGGGATTTCAAAAATTTCTGTAAATGCAATTTTTTAATCTATGTCTGTTTTACATCCTCCAAAATTTTCAAAATCATCGGAAACTTGACAGCCGAGCTCCAGACTCCGGTAAAAATTTCTTGAATTTTTCCAATCAATATATTTTTAAAAATAATCTGAAAATCCAATTCTGTCCAAAAACCAACTTCCTAGCTCATCTAGAACTCGAGATACGGAAGTTTTCGAGGTTAGAGACGCAGCGTGTCTCGTCGTCTGCCTCTCTAACCTCCTGAACCTGGAGTGGCTCTAGCTCGGTTGCTAGAAGCGCTGGAATTGTGATTTTTTGACAAAATTGTAGGAAATGTTGTCTATTTTTTTAATTAATTATGCAAAAGTTACGAAATTGTCAAAATAGCGGAAAATCAACAGAAAACTAAGTTTTTGTATATCTTATTAAACGGTTTTGTATATTTTGAAGTTTTTCGTAAAAAGAGCGAATAATTTTTCAAGTTTTGGATAAAATACCTCTTGGAATGAATGAAACAGTGGAATACAGTATTTCCCATTTTCCCTCGTTTTTTTTGAGGTTTTCAACTACTTGCCGATTTCTGAACGACACTCGCGTTTTTTTCACGTTTTCAGTACAAAAATAGATAAAAAAGGGTGTATTTTAGAAATCGGCAAATAACTGAAAAACTAGGAATTTTCAAAAAAGTCTGCGAATGCAAACGTTTCAATGTAGGTCTGTTTTCTAACATCCAACGTTTTCAAAATGATCGGAGCATGGACAGCCGAGACTCCTGAAAATGTGCAGAATCAACTCATAAATGCGTTGTTACTGAACGGTGCTCAATTTTTAATAAGACAAAAATAGCAAAGCTTGGATATGAGCAGTTTATTTTTAAGCAAACAAAACCAATTCCACATGCGATTAAGCAAAAGAAAATCAAATATCGATTGAATCAACACCGAGATCATTGAAGACTTCGTACCATGTGTTGCTACTGTTGATGAGATCCGAGGAGATGACATCATCGGAAAAACTGGACCAATTCGAATCCATAGTCAGAGTTCGAGTTCTCTTCTCATAGGCTGGGGGATGAATCTAAAAAAACAATTTCTGATCAATTTAGGGAAAAAATCGCTTACTGAGTCCTTATGAGAAGCTTGCTCAAGTTTCTTGACCACCGTTCCTGGTGCTTCCTCTGAAGCCTTCACAAGATCCTTGGTTTTTCTCACTTTGCGTTTTGTTGACTGACGGACCACCTTCCTTCTTCTCACTTCTTGACCCCACTTCTTCTTATACACAGCTTTCGATTCCTCTCCCATCGCCTTGTATGGTTCCTTCTCCTCATCCGTCAAACTGCTCAGCCAGCAGCTTTGTGGCGTCAGATCCTGCCAGTGACTTGTCCAGACGGGCGAACTCTCTCCGATGCTCTTTGCCCCAGAACATGTATGCATTGGTTGGACGCTCCGCTGATCTCATCTTCTTGAGCTTCTTCTTGTATTTATCTTTCTCATCATTGTCCAATTCTTCGCATCGTGTTTCCATCTTCAGTTCAAGCTCTTCATCGGAAAGATCCGAGTGCTTTTCTCTATTTTTCTGGCGAATTTCGTTAGCATAGAGTTCGAAAGCGGTTGGTTTCTTTCGGAGAGACGTCGACGATTCATCTGGGTTGTAATGAAGGGGTCCTGATTCTGATTCGAAGGTCATTCTGAAAAAAATTGAGTTGCTGTATCTTGAGCTCAATTCTCTTGGTTCCTATAAGAGATATTTAAAAACCGCCAACTGATAAAATATTTTTGATAATAGGATAAACATTTTATTAGTTGACAGATTTTTCATACATGTTATAGGAACCGAGATAATTGAGCTCAAAGTGCAGAGAAAGCACGGTGGGAATGCTGGCATAGAGATGCAAAGTTGATGGACAAAACCATAAGACATTGAATAAAGCAGATAGTGTTGTATTATATCACTTGTTTATTCATTCTAACAAAAAAATCACATCAAAACATGCAAAAAAGATTAGGGTGAAATGTTGGGACAGGTAGAAAAAAGGTGAAAAACAAACCAGAGGGAATGGAAACAATAAAGTGTAGATGGGTATGGAAATTCAAAAAAAAAAGATTATTGAGTCGAGAATAGTACAGCTGTTCGTGTGCGAAATGTGATTTTAGAGGAATCAAGATATGGAAGGACCAAGATTGATGGATATGGAAAAATAAAAATAAAATCGGAGGAACTTCGGGAGAGAGAAAAAATGCAAGTTATGAGAATCATTAGAAAGGGGTAATGATAAAGAAGAAGAATTTCAGGATTAAGAAGAAAAGAGTAATGTGGAAACATGGGGAGGGAATTGAAAAATATGAGAGTTTCGAAAATACCTCACAATCAATAATCAGCTCTCGCTCTTTTCACTGCTGGCTCATCCTCATCTACCATCTCATCGGCTGCTGCAGCGGCTCCGGCATCCTCGTCAGCTCCACCTGCGACATCCTCATCCTCATCCATCTCGCCAGCAGCTTCTCCTCGACCAGACCGGGATCCAGGCGTTCTAATGAACCCTCTTCTGAGCTGCTCGAGATGCTCATCGAAGACAGCCGTCTCGTGGTCCAGCCATTTTTGGCGATCGGCGGGAGAGAGGCTGCTCCATGCCTTTTCTGAAGAGGTTCAGTTATTTTTTCTGCTTTTAAATCAAAAATGACTCACCGAGCTCTCTCCGAGTCTTAACTATCTTCATAACTTTGAGGTAGTTGTGGAAGAGGTCCTTGGCCATTTTGGTCTTTGAGCAAACCTCCTGTGGCAGCGCCTTAGACCTCTTATTGGGGTTGAAGAGGTTGAGGTTGGTGAGCTGGCCTGAAACAACATTGAAAATTAGTGTATTATTTTTTCACAAATTGCGCTTACCAAGCTCCTGGTCCCGGTAAATTGGGCACACGGCATGATGCGCATTGGCTTCTTGAAGAAGCAAATGGTAGGCCTCGGTCCCTTCAACAAGCGGCTTCTTTTGCTTGATGGCTTTTCTCGCGGCCCGGCGCATAACTTGCGTGGTTTCGGGTGCTCCATTAACTGGGCGAATCCTTTTTGGAGCTGCAAAGTGTGATTGTTGGTTTAGCTGTGAATAGAGATCATACCTCCATTGCCACTGGAGCCATTCATTGCAGCGTGGGCGACTGGAGCGACGACGGCGGCTAGAGGAGCGTCGACTGGAGCTCTGCCGACTGGAGCTGCGTCGACTGATGGAGCGGCATTGACTGGATTGAGAGCGGCTGGTGCGACGACGGCGTTGGATGGAGCAGCGTCCAATCGCACATCGTCGGCTGGATTGGAACTGGCAGGAGCAGCATCGTCCACATTCGCAGCTGGTTGAGCTAGGCCGGCAGTACGATTCTTATTCGACGGACGACCTCGGCGGGCGTACCCTTTGCCAACTCTTGTTTTCGGAAGGTTTGCTGCAAAACATTTATTGGTTTAAAGGTGGGGGGACAGGAGATTTTTCGTAGTTTTTTTGTAGCTAGAGTATGCATTCTACCGTCACGGTGTACAACGCTTAATGTCACTCTGCGTACAGCTGCCGTCCTCGCCTTTATGTATGCAATCTGGATGCCGCCTTTTCTTTGCCCGCGTGGCTCAGTCGGTAGCGGCGCCGCACCCTCAATCATCGCCCTCACAAGTTCAACTCCTCGAGAGGCATCTTTGAACGGAATTTCGAGAACATTATTTTTTCATGTCCCCCCACCTTTAATATTGAAAACTACTCTCACCTTCCATATCAACCTCTTCCTCCAAAATTCTGGTTCCATCGGCCATGTTTTTCAGAGCAATCTGAGCTGCTGCTCTTCTTTCTCGAACTGCCACATTTGATGACGAAGGTTGGAGAGCATCGTCCCTCTTCAACCTCCAGACGGTCTCCGGTCCCCTTATTACTTGCGTCCTTTGCGTCGATCGGAGCTGCGGCGACTGTAGCATCGACCACATCCTCAGCTGGTGAAGCGGGCTCTGCGGACGTTGGCTGAGTTTCTGCCTGAACGATTTCTGCATCAATGTCCAGTGGATCCATGGCCAAATCTTGAGAAGAACCAGTAGGAGCTGCAACGACCTCGGACGTCGGTTCTGCCTCCTCCGGTTCTTTCTCTTCAGCTCCGACTGGTGATTCCGGTTGAGAGGAACTCCCATCGGAAGTTGAGGAGTTGACAGAGAGAGTGAGTTCTCTCCTCTCGGCTGGCAAAGATTCCGAACCATCTTCTATCTCTGGGACAAGAAGAATGCGCTGTCCAGAATTCTCTAAATGCAGAAAGATAGACTTAATTTCAAATTGGAAAAACTACTGACCTCCTTCGACTGTTGGGCTGCTTTTGTCATCTGTAGGCTCCAGGTTGAATGTCTCGTGGACAACGAATTCCAGTTCTAGAATATCAGAAAGATGAAAATCATACAAAAATAGAAATAAAATCTTACCCTGGTGAGTCTGAGAAGATCCTTCGCACAACTGACCAGACTCATTTGTTTGAGTTGCTGCTGTGTACGATTCTAGAATGTCAGAAAGATGAACTTCATCTAAAAATAGATTTTAAAAAACTGACCTGACACAGTTTGAGATGTGGTGTTCACATCTTCAGAAGCTACCGGTAGTTGCGGCAAAATTGGAGCCGTTAGTTGCGGCAACACTGGAGCCAGCAGGTTCAATCCCTCTCCTGGAATTTTTCTATTATAGTCAGTTTTTAGCAAAAATTTCAAAAAAATTTTTCAAATTTGGAAAACCCGGGCCCTGATTTTGCAAGTATGGTTTTTAGTAGAAAAAATGTTTTACCTGCATGTTGTACTAGCAGGATATCAGTGTGGAGGTTGTTAATGTGAGGACCTAAAAGTAGGATATTTAGGAATAATGGGAAAAAAGAATTACCGTATTGCCCGCGACCCATGGCTGCATGTGCTACCTGCTGCACGAGAACGCCACTAGCAAGGAGAACCTGCCCATGGAGTCGTTTTTGGTAGAGATCCGCTTGATGTTGCCCTGTAACTTGTTGTTTTTTTGTCTAAACTTTTGTATTTTAAACTCACGGGCGTTGTCTTTTAGAACGGCGTCGAATGCTGGGAGCAGAGCATTGTGGAGCAGAACTTGGATATCCATTTCTGAAAATTTCTAAATGAAATTTCTGAAATTTACTGAATAAAACTATAATTTGACATAATTTACCACCTCACAGGCAACATGCAACAAGGGTCGGAGAAGAATGTGAGTCGTGGCGAGGGTCATACCTTTCTCCGGTCAGGGGTCCGGATTTCTAGAGGAGTGGGGAAGTTGCCTGGGGCAGCTACCCTCCAACCCCTTCTAAAGGTTCCCTCTGCCCACGTAACGACACTCCGCTCGGCGCGCGCACAGTTTAAATTTAGTTTTGAGGGATTGCGAGCTTGGATTTAGCTCGTGGTTGTTCTAGGGACTCTTTTAAGGATTTTAAGTGAGTTTGATTGAATTCTAAGCTTTTATTTGTTGTTTCTTTCTAACTTGTTCATAATAAACCGATTTTGTTACATTTCTTGTTGATTTTCTTCTATTTTATCACAGGAAACAGATACCCCGGACATACCGCGGGCAATTGATGCCCACATGTGTGTGCATAATTTACATAATTAAAAAATTTCTCGCACAACTTTTATATTTTGAACTCACGGGTGTTGTCCTGGATTTCGACGAGAGCTGGGATCGGAGCATTGTTGGGCATCATTTGATTTTCCATTTCTGAAATTTACTAATCAAAATGATAATTTTCCGGGTCAGAGAAAGCGGAGGAAAAACAATCATAACGAAGTGAGAAGCGACTAAACAGCCTCGGTTGGTATATAAAAATCAGTAAGGGGCGGAGGAAAGAGGCGGGAACAGACATTAGCTTCAAAGCTTCATGCCGATGGCTCGAGAAAAGATTCTGGTGACCTTTCTGATATAAACAAAGTGAGCGGCTCGATTAGCTGAGTTACTGGATATAACTTACCGCCACACAAGCAACAGACATCCGTGCAACAGGCAAGCGTGTGTGTGTATGTGTCTCTTTTTCTATACCGCCCAGAAGCGTTCGTCGGAATGGTGAGAGTGAGAAGAAAGGGAGAGACCTAGAGAAAGGAGAGGAAAAAAGTTGGATTCTCATTGGGTGGTAGAAAAAAAGAGAACGGAAAAAACGAAGTAAACCTGTATGAGAAGGACCTCCACACTATCAAGTTTAAGTTCAATTATCTCGGTTGCTGTAAAAGATATCAAAATTTTGTCAACTGATAAAACGTTAATCATAATATTGTCAATATTTATTGATTGACAACTTTTTTATACCTTTAACAGCAACCGAAATAATTGAGCTCAAAGTGCACAGCTAACCAATTAGCTGCATATGATTAATGCGGCAGTTGACTCTATTATGTGTGTATGAACGTTGTTCAGAAAAAAGGGACATTCAATAGAAACATTTTCCTTACAGGCATAGTCCGTAGCTATTCAAAAAGTTCCGAAAAAAGGGACAATATTCCAAAAAAAACCCAGAAAAGCGTATGTGAGGAAAATTGAATGTTATCCCCCCAAAACACTCAAAACGCTTTTCATGAACTCCGTCGTTTTGACAGGATAATACCAAAAATATAGTTATACCCCCACCAAATTCGCCACATTTTCTGAATACCACAAAACGTGGCAAGAAGGAATTTCTGACCTAAATGTAGTGGAACTAGCCTGGTTCTAGAAAAAGTAAACCCAATCAAGGTTCTCGAGAGCGAAACTAAAAAAAGAGAGGTCTATGATTATATGTACATACACATACATTTAAATTTTATGGGCGGTTGCTCGAATTGGAACGACTAAAATGTCATATTAGCCGTAAGGGTGGTTGGTGGTGTACTAGATTTTCGAGAAGAAACATGAAATTTCGAAATTTAGGCTAAAGATTACTACAGATTCCTGTGAGTCATGGTTATAAAATCGAAAACATGATTTTTGAGATTGTTTGATGTGGGTGGGGATAAAAGTATAGATCAAATCGAATTGTGAAGTCAAACTTATAAAAACTCATAGTCAGAATAGTTTGATTTTTGAGGTTTTATATCGCTAGGCCTAAAAAACAGCAGAAAAGAAGGAGAGATGAAACAAGGAGAGATTTTTGAATTCAAAAAAAACATTTTGGCGCCAATTTTCTTTTCTCTCTCTTAACTCTAAACAGGACAGACAACACAAACGACCTTCACAACCACGACAAGCGTCGCGGCTTCTCTTTTTATTACGAGCATTCTGGAACATATGAAAAATGATGTTGATGACAAAAAAAAACACAGGCGGTCCATAGTGAGCGCGGTGGGGCGCAAAAACTGACAGAGAGATGGGAAATGGTAGAGAACAGGAAGCAGCGACATTATTTTATTGGAAATTTATGTGTGTTTAGGGGGTGAGAAAGTGAATGATACATTAATGCAAAATTTGGGGAAATGGAATGGGGTCATGGAAAAGAGCATTTTCTGTATCTGCACTTTAAGTTCAATTATCTCGATTCCTGTAAAAGATATTAGAGATTTGTCACTAATAAAAATTGATGTTGTTATGATGAAGAACTTAATAGTTGACCACTTTTCGATATGTCTCATAAAAACCGAGATAATAGAGCTCAAAGTGCACATGGGGTTCTATTAGAGCAGTGGTGCCGAGGAAAGAGGAATAGTTTGGAGGTACAAAAAAAGAAAGAAGTAGAGGGACGGATGTTCAAAAAAAAAATAAATAAAAAACAGCTTTACAGGAGAAATATGGATATTCATCCAATTCTAATTATCCCTATCAGCAGCTGCTTGACTTGCTCGTCCCTGACTTCCACAGCTCTGCTTTTCCATATCCTTTTTCTATCCCGTGTAAGCGCTCGCCAGTATTCTTCTGAAAGTTCACATATCAATTATTTGTCTTAAAATTGACACATCATGTGGAGGGTACAAGGAGGTACAAAATTCACAATTCTGGAGTAATTTTGTACATCTAAACTGCTTTGGACCACAATAACCCCTAAATTTTTGTACCCTCCGAAAGAATGAGCTTTTGAACTTCAATTTCCAACTCACGAGCATCTTTCTGGGAGCCTTCAAAGTTCATCTTATAGAATCGAAAGCCATCAATGGGACATTTTTCCACTTTCATGGGGAAGCCACCGTTGAACTTGTTGAACAAGAATTTCGAACCGAACACTACAATTTTCTATAACGGATATCAACTTTTTGATCAAACTCACTAGGATTTCCGTTTTGGTAGAGCCGCGTATTCGTGCATCTACATGCTGCCCAAAGCCGCCTTTGGAAATCAGGGACCCCTTCAACTGATTTTGGAGATGTTGGTGGGATTTCTGAAGATTTCGGTTATTTAAAATGTTTTTGATTATATACATATACAGTGCGCATCATAATTATAGGACACCCTCCCAAACGAGTGTTCTGAAACAACCAAAAAAGATAATTAAATTCTGTGAACGCAGTTCAATTCAGCGTGTCTAAAAACCTACGTTCACAAAATGTCAGGCCAATTGAGCTATTTTTATGCTCACAGGGCTGAACAATCACTTTTTAGGCCGCGTCATAATTATAGGACACCCCTGGAAAATGAAAAATCTCAAGTTTTTTAGGAGAAAAATTCAAATTTTTTGTTGATCATTGTCAAAATAGCCTCAAAACAGCATATTTGGACATTATACACAATCATTGATCCCTCTATTCCAATTTCAGAAAAAATTATTTTCAGACATTTTTGTCATTTTTTGGGTTTTTGGAATAAATTATGAATAACTTTGCTCCTGGGTAAGCTTTCCGGCTGAAATTGATAGGAAACCTTTTAAAAGTGCTCATGATCAAGTTGCAAGTGCTCGAGTTATTTTGAGCTCTGACAGCTCAAAATTGAGCTCAAGTTTTGAACTCAAAAAATAATGCGGGATCGATAATTTTTTAACGCTGTAAATAATGTTCGGAAAACTTTCTAAATTACCAGAAATGTTATTGAAGTTGAAGATAAGTACGGAATGATAACTTTCAGTTAGCAAATCAAGCTGTTCACCATAATCAGATTCACCGAATTTCAAGGGCAGTTTTAGAAACTTTAGTTTTGCTTAAATTCGAAACAACAGCTCAGAATATCATAACAACAATTAGTATACAATTCAAATCACTGAAAAAAATGTTTCCTATCAATTTCAGCCGGAAAGCTTACACAGGAGCAAAGTTATTGACAATTTATTCCAAAAACCCAAAAAAAAAAGACAAAAATGTCTGAAAATAATTTTTTCTGAAACTTGAATAGAGGGATCAATGATTGTGTATACTGTCCAAATATGCTGTTTTGAGACTATTTTGCCAATGATGAACAAAAAAATTTGAATTTTTCTCCTAAAAAAACTTGAGATTTTTCATTTTCCAGGGGTGTCCTATAATTATGACGCGGCCTAAAAAGTGATTGTTCAGCCCTGTGAGCATAAAAATAGCTCAATTGGCCTGACATTTTGTGAACGTAGGTTTTTAGACACGCTGAATTGAACTACGTTTACAGACTTCTTTTAGCGCTTTCGGTTTTTGCAGAATACTCATTTGGAAGGGATGTCCTATAATTATGACGCGCACTGTATAAGTACCTGTTCCCATTGATCTGGAAGAGGAAATCGACTGGGGAGATGGCGATGAGTCTGTGAATAAGTGAATAAACTATGACCTCGATAAAATAGCACTCACTTGGTAACATAGCCGGAGGAAGGTTGATTCCAGACACAGCCAACAGCTGTTGTTGGTAAGCGGCGAGATATTTGACAAGATTCGTTTTTGGGAGCATAGGAGCGTCCCGTTGACTATCAATGGCTCTTCTTGAGCTCTCGAGAGTCCTAATAATCTTTTTCTCTCTCATCATCCAGACAGAAGTATTTGGGAACATTCTGAAAGAAAAGAGATCTATGTTGAAAGTGAAGAAAAATAAATGATGAAAGAGAAAAAACTATTCTAGGCAGTGCTCAAGAGAAACTTCACACTTTTAAATCTTTATTTTTCGTCAGAGGGCTAATAGAAAATGCAATCCAGACAAGCAAAATAATTATCAACGTCACCAATGATTAGCAATTTGTGCGATCTGTGAGAAAAATCATGAAAAGAGGAAAGTTCAGACTGCGACATTTAAATTTATCTAATGAGTATTCAAAAAAATATTTGTGATAAAATAGATGACAATGTGTAGTTGAAGGGATAATGTGTTTCGAAGTTCAGACAACAATGTTTAAAATTGTGTCGACTACTGTGAAATGCAAATTGAGCTAATGCGTATTCAAAAAAGATGTTTCTCACAAAAAAATGCTAGTAATTGTTTGAAAAACCAACAAAAGTTTGAACATTTTGAGCGTTTGGAATGCTTTTAGGAGCCAATTAGTACTTGTGGCTCAAAAGACAATAAGTAAAGAACAAAAAAAATAATATCCATCTCCTTGTTCATCTCATCAAACGGAAATGACTGTCATTAATGGCTAGTGCGGTATTTCGTGCTTTTCTAGAAAAAATGACGCCTTCTAGAAAATATTTCGCAACAAAAAGATTTCTCTTCCAGATATTCTTCCAGATTAAAAAAATTTAATTAACACCCTCAATCATTAGAAAAACACTTATGAATACACAATTTCGTAAAATTTTCTGACATTTTTTCCCACAAGAATCTATTCTGTGGGGTGCGTCATAGACATTATACGTCAACAACTAACTTCATATTTAAGTTACGAAACAGAACTGCAAAAAAGAATGGCTATTTCCGAAAATAAGTTTTTCTACCCTGTCGGTTTCTTTGCAAAAGTAACAAATTGACACTACAACATCCGAGTAATTGTGTGGACGAAGATTTTAATTATTGCGATCAGAAAACCACAAAGAGCGAACATCGGGAGCAAGCAACATGATTTAGCTTTTACACCAAAAAGGCAGGGTGACATCTGTGTAATATTTGCAACGGCAATCGAGAGTTATGCAAATGAAAAATGGAAACATTGATGGAATAACCGTCACGGGTCTATTGATTGGTTTCGGAAAAAAAACACAAATGTGTTGCCAGGAAATCTGTGCCAGGAAATCAGTGTCCACGTGGCAGTGCCGACTAGGGACCACTTGTCTAATCCTGAAAACCATATAGTAATTTGCCGGAGCCTGTCTCTTTTTGCGTAGAAGGAGGGAGTTTGTCCGAAAGGAAAACGCAAGTAATAACGTTGTACACTGTCTGAAGTTGCAGGATTTCAATGTGTTGATCATTCCAATGCTGTCAAAAGGACCGCGATCGAGCCTTTGCGTAGATCGCCGGGGACCAATGAGGTCATCTGGCAACGCAATATCACATTACTGGCGCTCACGAGGATGCACTCTTTGTTTCTTCGGTGCAGCAGATACCCATGTATTCATCTCTGCGTTTTCCCGCGGACACTATTTCAGCGGAACAGAAACAGAACACCGTGGAGATATTGTTTAGTGGAATTATTTATTGAGAGACCCAAATTCACACTTCTGGTGTACACCTGGTTCCGCTACTGATGTGAAAATTTCCTCTGAAAATCCTCAACCTCCATTTTGCATTTTGTGCCCACTTGTATTGTTTTCAAAAAATTTTTTTTCATCCGGTGATACTATCAACAACTCTTTTTTCTCATCTGGCATTCCATCAACATTTTCCAAAGCTTGGGTTTATCTGGTTTTCGTGAATAACTAGCGTACTTCTCTGAGCTTATTGTGTGTCACACCCTTTTCATTATATTTTTTTGATGTCCCAAATCCTATTAAGGAAACATTGCTTGTCGTATATCTTTTTGATACCAAGGTGGCCAGTGCAAACGGTCAGCAATTTTTCTTCGTTCGTTCTCTCCTTCTACATTATGCGAAAAACACCTCTTGCGTTCCCAGTACCAACACACACACATTGCAGTTCTCTGTTCGTCTGTTTTGTGAACAAAAACACCTCTTTCTTTTTTTCTTTTGCTTCCACATCTGCCCAATGCTAACTCTAAAAAGTACATTGACTCGAGCCGCTTTCTCAATGTTTCGGTTGCTGTATACTTCATTGTATTTCTTGAATATTCTGCTTCTATTACAGTTTTCGCCAAAAACGTCTTCGCATCATTCTCTTTATCGTCTTATACAGGTCACATAGGGAACACCAGAAAGCATACGAGACTGAAAGAAGGAACCCTAAAACTTCTCACCTGCATTAGCACACTTGACATTAAAAAGCCTGAATGTGCATGTAAGTTTTATTTTTAATATTTTCAAAAACCAATTGAAATCTTACAATATTTTAGAATATCTAATATTCTCAGAAAAACGAAGCTTCGATGAAAACCCTTTCATAAATTTATAAAGCGGTTCTGCGTCGTGTAATCTACTTATTTAGATATTTAGTTATATTGAGCAGTATTTCTGAACACCATAAGATCATAGTCAATTTTCAAAATCTTTTGTCTGTACGTTTAACTTGTGGAAGGGAAAAATTAGTTTAGAGTTTTTGTTCCTATCCTTTGATGATCTCTTTTCAGTTTCTCAGCTAATAAGTGCAAATTACATATTTCTCCAAAGTTTGCACTTATCAATGTGCTTTCTGCTCCTCTCACGTCCCTCATATTCATAATTTTCCTTTCTTCTCTCACATTCGGGTTTAAGTCTTCCTTCTCTTCTCATTTCTGTTCCTTCTTCATTACCTCTTTTTACCTCTTTTTACCTCGTAAGCGAACAAGGCGCGGAATTGGAAACAAGCCTGCATTCAATATATTGTTCAAAAAAAATTGAATAGAAATTTTTTCCAAATGTCTAACAATTTTGGACGTCACCCAACGTCAGACGCGGAAGTCGCTAAATGTCGGTGCATAGAAAAACATAAACTGAACGAATTGGATTCTCGAAATGTGTCATATTACCGACGGGTACATGATGACGGGTTTATAAGCAAGATGAACAGAAATGTAATCGATGAGCCAAAGAAGCGGCTTAATTTTTAGACCTGCCGAAAGGCGGGCGATAGAATACGGTGCCGAACAGGATCCTCAACTTTGAACCAATTTATCTCGGTTCCTGTAAAAGATATAGAAAGTTTGTTAAACAATAAATTGTTTATCATAATGTCAGAATTATTTTGTTAGTTGACCTTTTTTTGATACCTCTGACATGAACCGAGATAAATTGGCTCAAAGTTAGTTGAAGGTGGGAGGCCCAGTGACAGATGTCGCACTGCGGGAAAATTCGCTAGTTTTTCATAAGCTATTACCGTCTGGACCCTTTTTCCCCTCATTGAGATGCTTTTTCCGTTCAATTGTGTTTAAGGCGCAGCATTCTTTCTCCCTTTCTCGCGTTCCCCGTTTTTCCTACCTTTTCTCCTATTTTGCCCAGCTACCATTATAATCCTTTAATAGTGCAACAAACTAGACACATAAGGGACCACCGGAAAAATCATATTCTTCTAATTAGACTAAAAGAAACCAATTGAAACAAAACGAGAGCAACAACACCTGCCAACGTTCGCTTTGTGAATAATTCCATAAAAAAGATAATTCCATAAAAAAGGATATATCCACCACCCCGCCTTCTCTATCTGAACACTGGGTGAGGTGAACATAATTAGTGTGCGGAGACATGTTACTACGATGTCAGTGCAGATTAGTAACAAGGAAACAAGAAAATGAACACGTAAAGGAGCAAGGAAGGCAGATGTGTGCAATGTGTGCAAAGCGTTTTGATTTAGTTCCGATCTTTTAGCGGAAGAATGTGAGTCATACCATTTTTCGAAAACCCTAGTTTTTTTTCTAAAATCTGTTGAAGTGTTTTTTAATTGAAGTTAGGTATCTTTGAACATCTTCAAGTTTTTGAAAGTAGAATATTGTTACACTGTAATAGAAGAGCACCCACACTGTCAAGCTTAAGCCAGTTTATCTCGGTTCATATGAGTGATATAAAAATTGTCAACTAATAAAATGTTCATCATAATATTACCAATATTTAATCAGTTGAGAATTTTTTATATCTTTGACAAGAACCGAGATTTTCAAGCTGAAACTTGAAAGTTACATTGGTAATTGTGCCATTGGGTTTACAGTAGTTCCTGAATTCTGAATGAACCGAAAACAGATCGTTCGTTTGATGTTTAAACTTCACCATATCCTGCTTTTAAAAACATAAAAGTCCTTTTCAACTCGGCAAAATGTACATTCCCAATTTGTAATGACTTTTGTTATGTCAAAAAACGCCTTTTTGTCATAATGAGATATAATTTCTGAGCTTCTATATCTAGATTCCTCCAAAAAATATCATCAATTTGTAAATTGATAAATTATTCATCAAAATATCACCAACATTTTATCAGTTGACTAATTTTTGATATCTTTCTGAAGATCCGAGATAATTGAGCTGAAAGTGTACGGTGTGTATATTAGAGCAATTACGGCCACCTTTGGAGTCTTTTCATGTCTCCTTCCTCACGTTATCACAGGTGATTCGCAAACAATCCGTTACGGGCGCTCAGCGTTCGATCCGCTTGCGAATGATAGACAAACGGATCCGTTCGCGAATCAGACAATAGTTTAAGCTCGCGAACGGATCCGTTTGTTTATCATTCGCAATCGGATCGGATACGGAGTTCGCAAACGGATAGAATACGGAGAAATACGAAATAATGTGCTGTGGTTTTCTGAAAACGGATCGCGTGCGGTCCGTATACGGTTCCTATTTCAACCGCGCGCGAACGCTGAGCGCCCGTAACGGATTGTTCGCGAATCACCTGTGATAACGTGAGGAAGGAGACATGAAAAGACTCCAAAGGTGGCCGTAATTGCTCTAATATACACACCGTACACTTTCAGCTCGCGCGAACGCTGAGCGTCCGTAACGGATCCGTTCGCATTTTACCTGTGATATGAAAAGGGAGCAATTTGAAATTCCAGGAGAACCTAATCCGATTTGGGTTTCGGTTCGTTCAGTGTTTCCACATGCCAATTAAAAATCGCGTTCTCCTTTCCGCGCATACTCACCTTCTCCTTGACACTGACCACCCGTTAAACACGTTTTCTTTCTTTTTGCTCCTATGAGCAACCGTCTGTCTCTTTTATGCTCTTTTGCTCTACTAGCCCCCATCATCTCTGTCTTCGTTGTGAGCCCTAGGCTTGTTTGTATTGACTGAGGAGACGAAAGAACGATGAGATATGATTTATTATAAAACGGACTATTAGAGAAATGAAACGATGAGGATCATAAAATCTGAGATGAATTTGGCATAACAAGTTCCAACAATATGTACTGGCAATAAATACCATACTAGATATCCATGGAATTATTTTGAATGAAACCCTTCTTCAGTTGCTTGTCGTATTCGGTCATTAAACCTTTTGACAGTTTTGACCAATCTTGCTTCTCTTTCTTTTTCATCTTCTTCCACTCAGCTGCTGAAACATATTAGACTTTTCTGGATTTTACGAATCACTCACCTCCGTCCAAGTACGTCCCTTTCTTCTCTCCTTGATACCATTCTATGAACAACGCTTTATTGTTGCCCACTGGATATCTTGCTGACTGAGGAATCGTTGGGTTGGCAGGGTTAAACAGACAGTCTAGGCTGTGTTCTGAAATTTGGGAAACGAATTGAGTAGGTAAAGTGTAAAACTTACTTAAACCCGAATGTTTGTAGTGTTTAACAGATTTGCAGTGAGCCACTGCTTCTTTGAACGATTGGCTTTGACTTGTAGGTCCTTGTGCAGCTCTAGTAATTGATGGTTCAGGTGGAGAAACCGTAGCTGGAGCTTCAAAACTTTCTGATTTTAGACTACAAGACGTAGATGAACAAGATGACAAAGAAGATGTCGAGTTGTTCATGTCTGAAATGGAATAATTCAAAAATTGGAATATCAAAAATTAAAAATCACCTAGGTTCAAATAGGTGGATGAAGGGAATGTTAGGTACCAGGTCTGGCTAATATCGTTTGGAAGGTTTGAGTCCCAGGAAGTCCTTGAATTATTTCCAAATTGATACATCCTATACGAATTCTGCTCCACCACCGGTGCCAATGGTGAATTTACCAAAAATCCACCAAGCTTAGAAAATTCTGAGCATATGGACGGTGGACATGATTGGGAAGCTCCTTGGATGTCTTGACCTGAATTTCGAAAAGCTTTGAGCTGCAAAAACCTATTAGATCATGAAAAAATACCTGTTGAATGATTCCCTAATTCCAAATATCCGTATGAGGTCTGCTCCACCACTGGGGGGAATGGTAAACTTAGCAAAAGCTGAGGCACTGGAATTTTAAACCACATTTTCGAACAATTTGGTTTAACATACTCAAATAACGGGCTTTTCTGTAGGATCTTGTGAACCTAAACCAGCCAGTATCATGTTCTGGTTGGCAGTAACGATATTTTGGTTGTTTCCCACATTGCTAGGGCGATTTACTAAATTTTGAATTATGATTGTTATGTTAACTTTAAGCCTATTCATCTCGTTTCCTGTGAAAGATATAAAAAAGTTGTCAATTGATACATTGTTCATCATAATATCACAAACATTTATCAATTGACACACTTTTGATATCTGTGCATTTAAACCAAGATAAATGAGCTCAAACTTGACAATGCGGGGCGTTTCTATTACGGGTTGAGTTCTACGGGATGTAAACTTACAAGGATCATTAGCTAGAATTATACCATATTGAGTTTTGAAGTCATACATTTTTTGAGGTAGTTGGCACAATCTGAAAGAAGTTTTCCTTCAAGAAAATTCATAGCAAAATTCTGTTTTCTTAAAAAAACGACAATCATGATTAGCGAATTGAAGCATATGTAGGTTTCAGTTTTTCCAACTGGAAAAATTGCATCAAACGTCACGCTTACGATTTTTGGGTCTTGAAACGTCCCTAGAAGCAAAACGACTCTGAAAAAAGCAAAAAGAACCTAGTGATAGCAATTTTCCCATGAAAAATTTCCGCTCCCAGGTAGAAAACGCTCAATTTCCTTTTCTGCCGGATATTTGCGCATTCGAAAAAAAGAAACCATGTGTATGGAATCGATGAGTTGAATGCCTAGCTTATCAGTGGCTTATCTTGGAGATCTGATGTTCTCGGGGTTCGAACAAATTGAGGATGTATTAACTAAATTTAAAATTCTGGAAAAAAAATCAAAGGATGACTTTCCGAAAAAAACGTGAAACTGACGTTGTTATGTATTTTTCCACTTCTTGTTGCGAGGACCCTTCATGTCAAATATGTCTCCTCTCCACCTGACGTTTTGGATTCGTCATCGGTGGGCCACGATCGGGCCACTGGCGGCAAAGGAGACAGGTGTGCCACGTGCCAGCCATGAGCGGGCCTCGAGCAGGGCACGAACAGTCTTGATAGCATCCAGTCATAATAGCAAGCATTGCCCGATTATTCCCGTTGTTCAGAGCACTTTCATTTTTTGAAATTCGGTCATCTGGAAATTCGGAACATGTAACTGTCTCTTGGTAAACAATACTTTGGTAGACTTTACCCTAACTGCAACTATTTAATTTCACCTTCCCATTTCACACCAACAAGTCCCTAACAATTTGTTTCAACTTCTTTTTTTCTATTTTCTCAACCCCACACACTCGTTTCAATGAGCAACTACTGTGTGTGTCTCTTTTCCATACACTCTTAAATTTCTCCCATTTCTCATTTTCTCTTAAACTTCCCTGCTGCTCCGCGAGCTAAGCACGTTGGTAAACGAGAGATGATGGGAGGGAGAGGTTAAAAGTGTGTGTGTTGCCACCGCCACATAATATCATAAAGGTGCGAGGTGATGAGAAATTGAAGCGATGCGGTAAACAAGGGAAAATAGAGAATGTGGTAGTGAAAAAGAATTCATTTGATATGGCCAACACTGATACCACAATATACCGTAAAACCTGTAATAGAAGGGCCCTCTAACTTTATTCTTTGGGCTCATTTATCTCGGTTCCTGTCAAAGGTATAAAAAAGTGGTCAACGAATGAATTGTTTATCATAACATCAGAAGTGTTTTACTAGTTGACACAATTCCAAAAAAGCAACTTTTCCCGCAAGATAACCTTATGATTTTTCCTTTGCCTTTTTGGAGGAAAAGGGGTTTCTTGAATCGGCGAAAAATTAAAAACAAGCCGCGACCGAGGAGCAGCTGGTGGTCAATTAGATGCGGAACATAGATACAACGCGAGTCAAAGGGATGCTCCCCTTTTTTTTCGGATTTTTAGGCAGACAGATGTTTGAATCCTAGAAAATCCAAAAAAAGAGGGGAGTGGTGGGTTTGCCGGATTCAACAGACAAGGAACGCCGGACACAGGAACGCCGCCCAATTTGGAAGAATGACGCATTAGGCACAAGCAGATGGAACATGTGCTAGCATTTACTGCAAAATTGAAACTTTTCTGCTTTTTCATGTCTATCGATTTTTGATTCTCACTTCCTTGACCCAAAAAAGCCTGATGTAGTCTGAAGGTGATTTTTTATGTGTCTCATGCAGCTTTTAGAATAGAGGACAAGAAATTGAAAATTACTAACATTTGACTGATAGAAAATGTTTCGAAAAATGTGAAAAAGAGACACATTTTTTGTGACTTCAAGAGGGTGTTAAGCTTTTCGAAAATCTTTTCCGTCACACTTACTGAACAGATTCTACGAATAATTCTTGCAAATACGTTCCTGTATTTTTGAGAAATTTTTATTTTTTCTTTCTGCAAAACAACATTTTCGATAAACACAGAAATAACACTAAACATTTTTTAACAGTCAACATTTTTTATACCGTTCTCCCTATTTTTGTAGTTCACAAGTTTTCATGTTTCTATGCTTACGAATATTTTAATTCGAACTTTCTGTTGCCTGGTCCGGTATTCCAACTGTCAAAAAGATACAAAAACTTAGTTTTTAAAAATAAACTTAAAAATAAATAAGTTTTTTAAAAATTATTTTTTTTCAAGTGTCCGATTACTTTGAAAATTTTGAAAAGGTGTAAAACAGACCTAGATTGAAAATTTTACATTCACAGAATTTTTTTTAAAATTCCTAGTTTTTTCAGCTATTTGACGATTTCTGAAAGACACCTGTTTTTCCCAGTTCTCAGTACAAAAATGGGCTCAAAAGTTGTCGACGACGCCCCAGCATCTTTGAATCCTGATTTTCAATTCCTAAAGTCAAATATTTCATCCAAGTCTTGCCTTGCCTTTTTTTTCAACAAAAAAGATCCCTCGCCCGCTCCCACCGGGAGCGGGCGAGGGATCTTTCTAAATGCGTTTCAATGAGCAAACTAACTACTGTGTGTTTCTTCCATGCTTTCTTCTCTTTCTCTCCTTTCTCTATTTCTCTTTAGCCTCCTTGCTCCGCGAGCCCCAGGCGAGAACTCATTGGTGCCTACGAGAGAAAAGGGGGGATGCGAGAAGTGTGTGTCTGTTGCCTCGGCCATAAAGATGTGAATCATATGCAATTGAAACGATGCGGTAAACAACAGGCAACAATATTTGTTAGTAAGAACAATAAGGAATCAAAAACTAACTACACACAAACTACATTATGGATTTTTCAATGAAGTATTCAAGAACGTCAGAGCACGGCATGTCAAAAAATCAGAAAAAAGAAGACTTGTTTTGGGAGTAATTAACAGCAATTAAAAGTAATTAACAACTTTAACTTTGATCATTCCTTTATCGAGTTGAAGTCTGTGCTCTATTCTCATCCTCTTTGCCAATTCACGTCACTTTTTTTCCTCTTTCGTTTGGCTTATCTTCTTCCATGAGGCTTCTGAAATTTTTCAATAAATATTCAAAATAGGATACAGTTATTCTCACCCGCATCTCTCAGGTTGCCTTTCTTCTCCCCCATAAACCATTGGAAATACATGGTCTCATTTTTTCCAGGTGGGAATCCCACGTACTGTGGGGTCACGGGGTTGAATAGACAGCCCCTACTGTGTGCTGAAATTTAGAAAAAAAATGAAAGGAATCAGAAAATTAAAAAATTACTAGTTAAGGGATCCCGGTAGAGCTCAACATCGTCACAGTAAAAGAAAAATGGTTCAGCTGAAATTGAAATTTTGAATTTTTGAAAAAAATATTATGAAAACTGACAATTGGAGGGAGAGATGGGCAACGAAATTGGCAAAAAGATGTCGGGAAGAGAGTGGGTCCCAAAACCTGAAAAATGTATATTTCGATGACGTCATCAATATTCTGATAATTAACCCAAATGCGAAGTTTCTGGAAACATGGCGTTTTGAAGCACTGGATTCATAGGAAGGACCTCATTCAAATATTGGGAATCTGGAACGCCTTCATGAAATTTCTGGCTAGCTAAGCAGATTGAATTTACTGGACTTGGCAATGTTTATCAGAGCAAGTGGAGACACCAAGGTAGCCGTGATCATGTTTGGGTTGGTAGGCATATTCTGATTTGACATGATTATTTGGACCAATGACTGAGGTCCAGCCGAGCATTCAGAAGCTAAACGTTTTATCATTTTTTGAAACTTTTAGACCATGTGGCTTAAACAATCTCTAGGCCATTGTCATCACGCCCAAAACGTTTCTAGGCGAGTTTTAGGCCGTCAGACTCTGAGGACCAGGAGCACTTACCTGTGTTATTGGCAACTATTTTCGCAAAAAAATCTTGAATTTCCTGTGATAAAGTGAAAGAAAAATAAGACATTTTAGGAGTATTTTCAAAACAAAAAGTGAGAAAAAATGAATAAGATGAACTGATGCGGGTGTCTGACAAAGCACTGGGGTGGAACTCACGGACTGAGCAGTGTTTAGGGTGAAGTTACAATTTGTGCTCATTAAAAACTAGAACAACTTGAATTGAAACATTAAAGGTGGGGGGACAGGAGATTTTTCGTAGTTTTTTTGTAGTTAGAGTATGCATTCTACCGTCACGGTGTACAACGCTTAATGTCACTCTGCGTACATCTGTCGTCCTCGCCTTCATGTATGCAATCGGGCGTGCGCTTTCTCTTTGCCCGCGTGGCTCAGTCGGTAGCGACGCGGCACCCTCAATCATCGCCCTCACAAGTTCAACTCCTCGAGAGGCATCTTTGAACGGAATTTCGAGAACATTATTTTTTTCATGTCCCCTCACCTTTAAAGGGAGAGACAGGAGAAGCTTCAGGGGTTTTCTTAGTTCAAACTCAATTATCTCGATTTCTGTCAAGTATATAGAAAAGCTGTCAACTGACAAAATGCTAATCATAATATCAATAACATTTTATCAGTTAACACAATATTGATATCTCTCACAGGAATTGAGATAATTGAGCTCAAACTTACATCGGTCGACGGCGAAACTTCCACCACTGCAGCTCAGCTAGTAGGGTCCACAATGATCAAAATTATCTCGAAGTTTAAATTTCAATATTTAGTGACAAAATATACTTGTCAAATCTGCTTTAACTGATTTTCCCAATCCTGAAAGTTCTGGTAAAATCTGAAACTTCAACTTTAAACTTCTAGACATTTTCCAATTTCCTTTGCACCATATGTATTTTCCAAATGCACAATTCGCCTGCGTGTCGTTTTATACACCACCCGTAACAAATATAACACATATTCCAATTTTCCCCCCATTTGTCTTTTCCATCCCTTCTACCAGGCACTTCTTGGCGCACCTGTCATTTTAATTGGGTGGATCGGAAAGGAAAGGGTTGGGAAGGAGTCCAATATTTAATGAGCGGTTTAATGTCATATTTTGGAGGAAAGGGAGGGACCTGAAGGCTAATAGGCGGAGAAGGAGAATATAATATGGATTTTCACTTTCATTGTTCATCTTTAGAGGCTCCTCGGTTGCGTGATCAAACATCCTCTTTTGTTTCAAAGGGAGCCCAACCGGGACCTGCTCGGAATAACCTAAATTTGTCTATAGAAGAAGTTTAAACCGAATAACAAAATATCAGCATCCTACCGGTTAAGATATGCGGTTGAGAAGTTGACTACCGAGCGGTGACCTACACTAGTTCCCAATCATTTTGATTTCCTTCAACCTTTTTTAGATTTAGGCTCTTTTGCCTATCTCTGTTGACAATTTTCGTAAACTTTTTGAATCAGATGCTAGAGTGATTTCATTTCTCATTTCCTGATTCTGGTCGTAAGACATATATCCCTACAAAATATTTTCCATGGCAGCTCATGTGAGTTACGCCTTATCCGGGGGACCTTATGTGTATTTACTCCTCCCCCTCCCGTGATTATGATTACTCCAGCCTGCTCACGCGGGACCCATTTTCATTTCACTAATACTAACAAAATATGTTTACTTCTTTTTTGGCTCTGGTCAAGGCTGTGCCAAACGACGGCCGGCCGCGGCCGGAGCACAGTTTTGGCCTTGGTCCTTGTCTTAGACCCTTGAAATGTATTGTTGAATTGGACCAACTCATTCAAAGTTTAATTGTTTTATTTTAGAAGAATTTATCGAAACAACTTATGACAGACGATCCACCCATTTCTCTGTTGTTCCTCTTGTACCTCTTCCAGCGCTAGCGCTCGCTGTTTCCATTCTCTTTTCAATGGACCATCCTCCGGCACGTTTTTCCAATCCGTATCTGAAAATCGAAAGTTTTAAAGCATAATTTTGTGCTACCTACACTTAAAAGTTCCTTTCTTCTCCCTGTCCATCCAAGCTACGAAGAAATTCTTGCCAGTTGAGTTTCGAGACTTGATCACTTGTTGATAGAGCTCAGACTTTGTGGGGTCGAATAGAAATTGCGAGCGATTGACTGAAACTTATACAATAGTATTGACATTTTTAAGCTTCGGAAAAGCTCACTGAGTTTCTCATCTTTGTAAAGTGCACAATTGTTACAGTACTCTATAGCTTGTTGCAGTTTTTCTGGGTCACTTAGTTTAAGGGCTGGTATCTGTAGAGGGGGCGGAGTCGGAGGTCCCACGGGCTTGCTAGCCTCTGGACCTCTTGGGGCAATCGGTCTGAACAGTGGCTCCGGGGAAAGGCTAGAAACATAAGGCTGCTTCGTTGGTGGTTGAGGCCGAATAGGCCCCATAAGCTTGGCTATTGTGACTTTAGGCTTAGAGCGAATAGTCTTCCATGATTTTGGCATCCATGTAGCTAGAGTACATTTCTGGAAACTAATTAATAAACTTGAAAGTCCAAGGTTTCGAAAATAGAGTGACCCACCTGAATTGGATGGGATCGAGACTTGGAAAGAATACATTTTTCGGAGTGAAAAGGAATGGGAGCCACTCAAGCAACCAATGACAACCAACTGGTTGCAAGGAGAAGTTTCCAAGGAACACGACTTTTAGAAGAAATGATTTATTTAGTCCGGGAAGCTAAGCAACTGAAAGCTCTCGGGGCTCCACTTGGAAACTACAGATACAGTAAGAAAAAAACCCGAAATTCCAGAAATTCCAGAAATATCTACAGATTCATGTGTACACAACCCATCCCGCTTTGATCTGATCCCTTTGAACTGCTTCGAGTCTTTTGGCTCTTTTCATCCACTCTTTTTTTAACTGCCTGTTGTTGCCCATTTCCCAGTGGTGTGCTGAAAATACAGTACCGGTAGATTTTTGAATATTTTGACTAGTTTTTGTAAATTTTGAAAAATTTTGCAAATCAAATCGCGAATTATTCTAATTATAAAATAGACAACATTTTCTTTAATTCTGTTGGAAAATCACGTTTCTAGCGAACCGAGATAGAGTCGTTCAGGAACCGAGATAGAGTCGTTCCAAATTCAAGAGGCTAGAGACGCAGACGACGAGATACGCTGCGTCTCTATCCTCGGAAACTTCAAATGACCGTATCTCGAGTTCTAGATGAGCTAGAAAATTGGTTTTTGGACAGAATTGCACTATTCAAAAAGACTTTTCAGATTATTTAAAAAAACCGCCCTAATTGGAGAAAACTTATTTTACCGTTTTCAGGAGTCTGGAGCTCAGCTGTCAAGTTGGTGTACCATTTTGAAAAATTCGGAGGATTTAACACAGTCCAAGATTGAAATCTTTGCATTCACAGAATTTTGTGAAAATTCATAGTTTTTCATATTTTGGCACATTGCTGAGGACCCCTTTTCACGTTTTCAGGGTGTCCGTCTGAAATGGGACAATATCTGAAAAACTAGTAGTTTTCCCAGAATTCTGTTAATGCAAAGTTTTCAATCTAGGTCTGTATTACACCCTCTAAAATTTTCAACCTATCTCCAGTCTCCTGAAAATTTATAAAATGACTAAAAATCAACTAAAAAAATACGTTTTTGTACCAACTTCTTTATGTTTAATTCCTCACCTAACAAGGGAAGTGTTTTCAGACAGTGGTTGAGAATTTCTTGAAAATTGGTACACATATACTTTCGGACATGGACAATAACGAGACGACTTTTTTCGTGCCCCTCGGTACCTAGAATCTGAAAAAACGCGTCTGAAATTTCACCTCTGTTAAAGCATTAAAAGCGTGAGCGCGATCTCCCCCTTTCTTATACAAATTGTGGAAGCAGTGAGGAACACCGAGTGTGGTGTAGTGGTGAAGAGGGATGGTGGTAACTGACAAGGGTTAGTTCGATCCCTCTTTTCCCGATTTGTTTTCTGCTTTTTTTCTGATCTTGCTGGAAATCTCAAAGTGTGTCAAAACCTTTAGAAAAAATTTCCATTCAGAATTTTATTAATTTTGAAAAAAAAATATTTTTGCTTGTTTCAAAGAAAAAAACCCAAGAAATCATTTTGAAATTTTCTTGAATAACTGCTGGAAAACCATCTTTAATCAAATTGTTAGTCAGAACCACCCAGATTTGCGCAGTTTGGATGCAAAACAGTAATAAATTAGTCAGAAATTATGTAAACCTATGTTTTTACAAGATTTGAGTGCTACTGGGTGATTACCGAAGGCCTACGATCCATTAAAGTTTTGAAAGAAAGCACATATTTGTGATTTCCAGGAATATTTAGAATACCAAATTTCATGAAAAGACTCTATTTATCGGTTCTTTACGTTTAGAAATCATTTTAGCACATTTGAAAATTTTTCAAAAAATTGTAAAAATTTCCAAAGGGGGTACCCCCTGGCGACTTTTTTTTTCAAAAAAATTTTTTTTTGAAAAATGAGGCTATTTTCTCAGATTGTAGAGAAACCTTCAGAAGTACGATTTACATTCGAGAAACTCCGAACAACTGTTATTAACCCCTCCAAAAATTCACTCCAAAAGTGAGAAATTAGCACTGAAATCACTTTCAGATCCCATAACTTTTTTGTGAGGGGCAAGGGGCAAAAAATAAAAGCAGCACTGTGATCAGCGTGTCCAAAAGTACCAATGACCAAAGTTTGAACAAATTCTCAACCACTGTCTGAAAACACTTCCCTTGTAAGACACCCCTGGGTTTTGCAACTGCCACCCACTCCTTGAAAATGCTCCTTCCGTTCTTCGGGTGATAGACCTTCACAGTTTGGTGGATGCTTGGGTTAGAGGGATCGAAGAGGTACCGGAATAGGTTAACTGAAAAAATAGAGGATTATTGAAGGTTTTCAAAATTTATTGCATTGCATACCAATTTTGTCATCCCAGTACACCGGGCAATTTTCGCAATATTCTACAGCTTTACTATGAATTCTAGCGATTTCTTGTGGTTGTTGTGGATTTGGCCTCTGGTGCTGTGGGGCTTGTGCAGAACTTGGATCTCGTGGAGCTGAATTTCCTTCATGCACAGGAAACATTGGCGTCAGTACCGGCATAGGGTAATGTACTGACATTGGGTAGGGTTCCCAATGGTTCCAATTCTGGTACATCTGATCAGAAACCGGATGGATTGACTCCCAGTATACTGATTCAGGATTTGGAACATCTAAAAATATGTAATAGTTTTTCTTTTTTTCAAAAATTCCTCTAGCTTACAGGGTAATTGCTGTAATGGGTCGTAATAGCATGGTCCATTAAGATAGGGATGGTTCGTTTTGGACACTCAAAAAAGCAGTTAGTGCTTCGAAAGAGAGAACAACGAAGTTTTTGGTTGAAGGAAGAAAAAACGGAGAAATTCCTTCTATATTTTCTTCCACTACAAGATTTAATGACATAGTCAGACCACAATTTTGTCTAACCCTTATAGTGTTTGAAGACGTCGTTAATGGCCTATGGAAAGAAGAAACTGAAAAATTGAAATTGAAGAAAAAAATTGAATTGGATATTACACTTAATGGAAGTCAAAAATTCTGAATTGTAACAGTATACATCTTTATTTTCAAAGTTTTGAAATTGACAAAAATAAAAATAGAGATTCTCATTCAGCACGTCCCCATCTTCTTTTTCGTTACTATCATTCCTCTTGCGACCTGCCCTCTTTGCTCCTTCACTAACTCGTCAGCTCTCGCCTTCCATTCCTTCCGGAGCTCGCTTCCTTTTTCGGCATCCCTCCACTCGTTCACTTAAAAATAAAAATATAAACGAACTTTTTGAATTAGATAGACAACTTACCATACCGATATTTCGATATATCTTTTCTCCCAACTTTTTCTCGGTAGGCCAGGAACAAGGTGTATCCCGTTCGGTCTGTGGCCGTGATCACACGCTGCGGGTACTCTACACTGGAGGTGTCGAACAGGCGAGGCTTGTTTTTTGAGAATAGATCTGGAGACAAATATTTCTGATGTTTTTTGGCTTATGGAAACTTACCAATCTTTTGGTCCTGATAAATCGAACGCTGTCTACAGTAGTCCGCAGCTCTCCTATACTGAAGATAATTCGTAATATTTCCTTCTGGGATTCGTGATAATAGTCCGAGAGACGATGGTCGTAGAATGGTGACGCCTTCATTGTTGGAATCGGCAGTTGGATCTAAAAAATTTTGAGCTCAATTATCTCAATTTCTAGAGCTATCAAAGCTACATCAACTGATAAAGTATTGGAAATTTCATGATAATCATTTTATCAGTTGACAGGTTTTGGTTATCTGTTATAGAAATCGAGATAATTGAGCTCGAACTGCGAGTATAGGTACCCCTTCTATTCGAGTATTATTCGATCTATTATTTGTAGCTCCTGTAACTTACGCTGTTCATTTTGCCACAATCCTCCAAGTTCGCTATTTCCATTTCTCATTTTTACCTTTTTCCAATCTATGTAGATACGTAGACTTGACAACAAAAAAATGTGTGCTGTGTGTGAAAAAAGATGAAATTCTCAGGCTCCACCTCCGATACAAATGTCATACCGACTATGAGAAATCTAGTTATTATTATTTTGTAGTACTTTGTTCCATTGGGAAATTATAGGAGCAACAATAATGAGAGTGATGTCAAATGCAGAAATACTTCATTAATCATCCACGCCTCAAAACCACCAAGTAGCCCCTGTTGATTTGGTCATCCTGCTCCTCTTTCAGCGCCAGGGCTCTTTGTTTCCATTCCAATTTAAGCGCACTATCAGCTGTGGCATTTTTTTGCTTTCCCTGCAAAAATAGTATTTTTCGTCAAATTCGGTCTTCTTACTATTAGCTTACTGTATCCAATTTCCTTTCGTTTTTGACAGTATGCCTCGTACAGCCTGCTCCCATTTTTGTCCGCAACTCTAAACACTCGTTGTGGCCATTCCACATTGTTGGGGTCGAAGAGCCGTTCTGCTAGGTTAACTGAAAAGATCCCTATGCGTTTTTCAAACTATAATTCCAAAACTCACCAATTTTAGGATCCTGGTATATTGGACGCATAGAAATGTACTCACACGCTTTGAGGTATCTTTTATAGTCTGAAGGCCCGGAAGGAATATTTGGCTTCGGAAACCACGTATCAAATGAACATTCACATAGTGGAGGGCCACTCCAGTTGAGACGTTTAGGAGATGACATTTTTTCGAAAAAATTAATCAGAAACTTTCTAAAGTGTGTGGTTGAACAAACAAGTTTCTTTTTATGTCGGCTGGAAAAGCACTGAGGTGGAATCGCCATGTTTATGTAGATGTTTTTGATGAAGTATGGCTTTGAGGCTTGCTGACACAAAAGTATTTTTTTGAAAGCTGAGATATTATTAATGAGGACTAATATAAAATATTTCGATTTAGGTTAATATATTTCCCTTAGATTCACCCTACTAATCTACGGCCATCTCTTTAGTTCAGTGTTTGATTTCATTTTAGACTAGAAGAACACGTTAGGCTTGTCTGAAGCGTACCACTGGAAAACTTGGGACCAGCGAAAATTAGACGGATTATGAAATGTAGGGCTATCGTTAAGTTGCTCCTAAATGCTCTTGGATTAAGGAATCTGGCATTTGGAATTCACATAGAGCCACTACCAATTCAGGAGGTTAGAGGAGCAGACGACGAGACACGTTGCGTCTCTAACCTCGGAAACTTTAAATGACCGTATCTCGAGTTCTAGATTAGCTAGAAATTTGGTAATTGGACGAAATTGCATGGTTAAAATGGGTTTTCAGATTATTCATAAAAAGGTATTCATTGGAAACATTTATTTTGGCCATTTTCAGGAGTTTGGAGCTCGGCTTTTAAGTTTCCGATCACTTTGAAGGTGTAAAACAGACCTAGATTAAAAACTTTGCATTCACAGAATTGCTAGTTTTTCAGCTATTTGCCGATTTCTGAAACACACCATTTTTGCACATTCTTTGTACTGAAAAAGTGAAAAATGCATCGGTTCAAGTTCCAACCGCCCAGTCTTTGAAAATAGTTCAATCTAACTCAAATCAGTGAAGTGTTGCAATATCGCATTCACCTCAGGGACACACACAGCAAACGCAGTGTCATCCCTAGTGTCTAGGCAAGTGAGCAGCGCGTGTGTACATAAAAAGTGTCATACAACCTTTTGGGTTCTGGGATGGCTCCAAAAATTAGTGTTGGCTTGATGTGTTGGCTTGATAGACAGTGTTTTGAAAACGATGGCTTCAATTTTCTGGGTTCCGATACCATGCACAGTCATTTTGATGTAGCCATTTTTATTTGGGAACAAGAAATGAAACTTGATGACTTGTAGTTGAAAGTTTGGAGAGGAAATTGGAAATTGAGACAAATCGGGAAAATAAAGTAATTCAAAAAAAAAAGAAACTGGAAAAATAAATAGATACAGATAATGAACGATGTCGATAGTCTACGCAATTCTAATATATCCTCTGTCCAGTTGCTCTTTTTGCTCGGCCTTGAAGTCCTTCAGCTTGGCCAGCCAGATAGATCGTAACTCTTCATTATTCTTCCATTCCCTCTCTGAAACAGTTTACAACCAGATTTAAATCAAATCGATATGAAACACACTATAATTCTTCTCTCCTTGTTTGTGCATGAAACATTCATACATCCGCTCGCCGGTTTTACCTTTCAACCTTGCCACAGGTTGAGGAAACTTTGCTTTTTTGGAATTGAAGAGATAATCATGGACGTCAACTGAAATTCACAGTTTTCAAGTTTTTGAAATCTATTTTATTAGAACTCACCAATCTTCTCATCGGTGTAAATTGAGCAGTTATGATAGTGAATACAGGCTTCGATAAATTTCTGGAGATCTATGCATTCCAATAGGACGCTCATTTTTAGAATACTAATCAGTTCAGAAAAAAGTAATTCGAAAATACGAAGTTCTCAGAACTTTGCAACACCACAAACAAGATTTCAGATAAATTGGGGGAATTCATAACCTACGAAAACTCTAATTACATGTTCCCTGTCTAGCTAGTAGTTAGATTTGTGTGAAATTTAAGAAAAGGTAAATGGTTTTTTGACCGTTTCCTGGAAAGTGGTGTTTGCTCACAGCAACCTGTAACCGATTTTCAACCTACAGTAGATTTTGAGATTCTGAGATTCTTAGATTCTGAGATTCTGAGATTCTGAGATTCTGAGATTCAGAGATTCTGAGATTCTGAGATTCTGAGATTCTGAGATTCTGAAATTCTGAGATTCTGAGATTCTGAGATTCTGAGATTCTGAGATTCTGAGATTCTGAGATTCTGAGATTCTGAGATTCTGAGATTCCGAGATTCTGAGATTCTGAGATTCTGAGATTCTGAGATTCCGAGATTCTGAGATTCTGAGATTCTGAGATTCTGAGATTCTAAGATTCTGAGATCCTGAGATTCTGAGAATAGTTCAAGCTAACTATTTAGTTTTTCTGTTTCACTATAGAACATCTCTTCTTGCCAGCAAAACGCATACAACACACGACTTCGCGTCAGCCTCAGCCAAGTGAGAAGACGGCCGCACATACACACATCGCTCGGCGCACACACGTAGCCCTCATCAATCCCGTCTAACGAAAGACACACGTTTGTCATCAGCAAGGAAATTGCTGTTGAATGGGTGTAGTAGAGTATAAAAACTGATATTACCAGACACAAAATACCGTAACCCTTGGATAGAATTTCCATTGTTTTTTGGCGTCTTTTAGTAAAGAACACACTTTTTGCCGGCACCCATATTTTGATGGATCGAAGAGATGACGCTTCGCGGTAATCCGTTGATATCAGTAACTCCATTGACTGGAATTAGTCATGTTGATTTTTCCTATGGCTTGTACTGTACGGATGGTCCATATCTAATCTACTTTTGCAATGCCTAGGCAAACACGCTTTTAACGGTGTCAGGAATTTCACCAAAGCTCCTTTTTCTACTGAATTCCCTTGATTCAATTTTTGTATGCTTGACTATTAGGTATGACGCCTTCGTGAGTTAGATTCCTTTTTTCCTCTAATTTTCTAGTTGAGTTTCTTTGATGTGCGCTTGTTTCCTCGGTCGCTCAAAACACACAAGAAACGAGGACTGCAACTGATGTAGGCGTTGAAGCTTGTGACCGCCCAAATTTCTCCATGACTTAGTCAAAATGTGAGAGTTTTCTCAGAATACCCTTATAATCATACAGAGCCGAAATCTGTCATGAAAAAGTTTGATAATTCATTTCGGATGGTAAAAAGGTAGATAAAAGATACGGTGGAATGATGAGGGATTAATAAGAGGTGAAGCAATTGTAGGTGCGAAGGGAGAAAAAAAATGAGAAAATGGAAAACAACTTTTTGCTAGAAAACAATAACAAAAGAAGAATTCAAGAAGAAATCATTCTCCTAATTCTTAAATCTTAATCATTCCTCGCTTTGCTCTTGTTGTTCCCGTCGAATGCACTCCAGGGAGAGCTTCCATTCCGCGAGCTCCACTCAGGTATCCATTACTCCCCATTCCTTCCATTCTTTCTAAATTCAGATTCTGAGGTTTCTGAGCAACTGGAGTACGTCTTGGGTCCCCTTTTGTGGCAAAACGACTACTAAGTGACGTATTACTCAAGTCATGTCCCAAACCCAAACCAAATTTAGAAACGCAGTTGCTTCAGAAAATAGTAGCAAGTGATTTAAGAAGCTCGTGATTATATTGCCATCCAGCGTGACAGCGTAGCGTAGCGATGTGATAGCGTGACGTAGAGAAAAGTTTGCACTTTTAGAGGAAGGTACCAAAAGATTAATGATAAGGAAGTTTTTCGAACTTTCCTCTGGTGTTTAGTTTGACTTTTTCTTTAGAAAACATCAATTATCCATATCACAAACAACAAAGTTGATGACGATTTTACATAATTGCTTTCCAGCTAATTCATTATACAAAGTTTATTCCCCAATCACAAGGTTTCGTTTGGTTTACATAATTGGTTATCTGCAATTTTAGTGGTAAAGTTCTTAGAAAACTTGTTTAACAAGAGGTTTCGTTGTTCAAAGTTGTTTAGAGTTAAAATTATCATCATTTCACAGTTATATACTTATCAAAGAGAGAAAAAAGAATCGGGTTCAATTTATCAAAAGATCATTGTTGGGAATTATAATGAAAGTGGGGATGTGGGGGGAGGTACGAAGGGGATAAAATATATCAAATTTATAGCAAAAACGAAGCAAAGATGGGAGAAGATCTATGCTTGTGGAGCATTTTTACCGAGCATTGTGAGGATAGTGTCCTCGTTCTCGTGAAGGATGTCGTACAACTCCTCGACTCTTGCTGGAACGAATCCGTGCTTCTTTCCGTTGCGAAGATACTCGATGTAGTCCGATTCGTAGCTCTGGAAGATAATAAATTGAAAATCAATTACGCTTTCCGGTAAACCTACCATGAGCTCTGCAATGTTGAGAGCGAAAACCTTTTCGTAGATGTCCTGGAAGTTGGAGACGATGCGTTTTTCGTTTATCGGATACACATTGCATTGTGCCAGGCATGATCCTTCGGTGCAGCAGAAGGTGTTCTGAAATCATAGATTTGATAATCTTGATAATCAGTCGATTATCTGAAACTTACTCTGAAAACACCGAAGAGTTCTGTCAGCGGAATATCGGAAGTCTTGAGAAGACCAGCTTCTTCAGACTTCAAGACCGCAAAGCGGTTGAAGATTCTTTGTGGTCCGATTTTGACCAGATATGCTGTAAAGTCATGAAAATTATTTGGCTAATTAAAGAAAATAAACTCACGTTCGGCTGGGCAGAAGAACTTTGCGTGGTTGCACGATAAATGAACAAGCTCGAGAACTTGCTCATCAGTCAATGGGGTTTGACGGTGTGAGGAACCGAAATGAAGAAGAGCGACGAAGAAAACAACGTTCAGAAGATGCGACATTTTCGATTGAGGAGGGATTTAAACTCAATTTGTGAGGATAAGATAGGAAACCGGGCCTTTTATACTAGTTATGGCGGGCAACTTGTAAGCATGACAACAAACCACGCCCCCTTTTTGCCTCTTATCTTTTCGTCTCTCACTTTCTCTCTTTTTCGTTTTTTTTTCAATGGGCGAAGCTTTGAATTGTTGTTGCCAACTTTCGAGGAGAAGTACTAATTTCAGCCAATGGGGAATAGTATGACATAACTGGTGACAATATTCGAGAATAAAGTCGTTTAAAATTGCTTTTGCGAAGTTTTCAAAAAGGTTTTGGATTGGAAAAGTCAATACGTCACTCTATGATGAGAGGATCAATAGAAAAGATTTTTAAAATGTGTGGGTGTCTGTGTTCTTTCTTTCCTACTAAAATGCCACGACAATCCGCTCTACCATTTTTGATAGTTAACTTCATTATTAGGTGTGACGTCTTCATGAACTAGTTTCTCTCAATCTCCAGTTGAGTTTCTTTGATGCGCGCTGGCAACAAAACACACAAGTCGAATAAAACCGGCGAATGTAACTGATGCAGGTGTTGAAGCTTGTGCCCTCCTCAAGACGTAGCAGACAAAAAGTTTGAGGATTCATTTCGGATTTAAAAAAATCGCAGGATACGGTGGAAGTGATAAAGGATCATTTAGAGGTGAAGAGATTCTAAAAATAGTTTTCAGGATGTGCTCCGGAAATCAACACTTTCATTTTGCGATGTTTTGCTGCTTTTCGGACTTCAAATTTGCGTTACTCATTACTTTCTGATCTCCCCCGTTCTATGATTCCTGTGTTTGTCCTCACAAAATTTTTTTTTTAACTAATTAATCAGCGCTAAAATGTTTCTGCCCCTTTTGCTGTTCTATTTTCCATTCGCCCTAGCTATGTTCTTGTTCATTTAACCTGGTGTTAGCTCATGAGATCCGATATATTCCAGCTCTGTACTACAGCCTCATATCATCAAAAAGTTTGTTGAAATAGTTCAAGCTAACTACTCATTCGCCCTAGTGGCCAAAACGCACACAACACACGATCTCGCGTCGGCCTCAGCCAAGTTAGAAACGGAGGGCGCACATACACACACCGCTCGGGGCACACACGTAACCCTCATCAATCCCGTCTGATGAAAGACACACGTTTGTCATCAGCAATGAAATCGCTGTTGAATGGGTGTAGAAGAGTTTAAAAAAAACTGATATTACCAATCACAAAATACCGTAACCCTTCAATAGATATCCCACAATTTTTTTTCCATCTTCTGTTGAATGAAACACTTTTTGCGGGATAGGTCGAACAGATAACGCTTCACGAATTTCTGTTATTTTCAGTAACTCCCACTGACTGGGAATAGTCCCGTTGATTATTCATATGGGTATTACCATATGGAATATATTTTTGGAATCTTTACGCTAAGACGTTTCACAACGATGTCATTATCTTCATAAGCTCTCTTCTCTACTGAGTTCCCACGACAATCTCATGTAATTCTTGGTTTTTATCTATTGAGTGTGACGTCTCCATGAATTAGCTTCCTTTTTCCCCCTGACTTTCCAGATGAGTTTCTTTAATGTGCGCTTGCTTCCCCGGTCGCTCAAAACACACAAGAAACGAGGACTGCAACTGATGTAGGCGTTGAAGCTTGTGACCGCCCAAATTTCTCCATGACTTAGTCAAAATGTGAGAGTTTTCTCAGAATACCCTTATAATCATACAGAGCCGAAATCTTTCATGAAAAAGTTTGATAATTCATTTCGGAGGGCAAAAAGGAAGATAAAAGATACGGTGGAATGATGAGGGATTATTAAGAGGTGAAGCAATTATAGGTGCGAAGGGAGAAAAAACAAGAAATGGAAAACAACTTTTTGTTAGAAAACAATAACGAAAGAAGAATTCAAGAAAAATCATTCTCCTAATTCTTAAATCTTAATCATTCCTCGCTTTGCTCTTGTTGTTCCCGTCGAATGCACTCCAGGGAGAGCTTCCATTCCGCGAGCTCCACTCAGGTATCCATTACTCCCCATTACTTCCACTGTCGGTCTGAAAATTCGTTCAATTCTAGGATTCTTAAAATCAATCTCTCACCAGCATCGGATAGAAACGAAGCGTGCCCTAATTTAGCAACACACTTTTTTTTCAGAAAATTTGGAAGAACGGGATCTGATAAGTTTGTCATATTATTCCTCATCTAGGCCTCCTCTAACTTTTTGCGTCAATCCAGTCTATAGGGAGGAGTACAAACGCATGCACACAAGCTATTTTCACCGCATAGCTCGCACTGACGAAATCAGCGGGCTAGACACTTCTGCAACAGTAGACGTCAACAAACTTTTGAAAAAAAAACTTTATTGAGATAGTTGAGATTATAAGAGGTGGGGATAAAAATAACAATTTTCCCGACAATGAGGTTATGAAGGAACGTCAATGAGTGTGGTCGAACGAACGAAATGTTGTACATTATACTAGTTCATTTTCTTGGTTCTTGACATTGCGAACTTTTCGGAGCAATACTTTTGAGTATACGATATTTTTCGCACCAGGTGGAGCATATGAGCCACAGTGGTCGGCGAGCCAGTTGGAAGTAGAGACATGGGACCTGGTAGAGAGTCCAAATTGACTGGACTTGCGGCTGGAATAGAATAGTTTTATAGTCTCCAAATGTATAATTGAAAATACCGGATTGATTCAGAGCAAGAGATAAGAACTGAGTTCTGAAAAACCCAGCTGGAGGCCAGACAGAGACTGGAGGAACTAGTGGAGTTTTTGGTTTAGGTATAACAGGCGGTGGGGCAGGGTTCTTTCGCTTTCGATTATTCTTTCGAGTCGCTGAAAAAGTGTTAATTAGTAGTTTTGCAGAATATGGTCCCCAAACTCACGCTTCCGAGGCTTTGAAGTCAAATCGAGTGGAAGATCCTCGGGCTTCTTCACACTTGGGTGGAACCCAATCCAAGAATGATGAGTATATGGTCCGACGGTGGTGACGGGGGCGTATAAATCGTTTAGTGGGAGGATGCGATAAGGAGAAGAACCATCAAATGGTAGTTGGCTCATTGTTGGAGGTCTGGTGACTGAAAATTTACTAGTTAAAATTCCCATTTCTAAAATAGAAACAACAGTTTCCAAGAGTTCAAATGCTTAAAAACACTGATTACGAAAACTGAAAAAATAGTGAAACCTCTGAAGTGTAGGCTGAAAGTTTTGCTCAGTCATGCGCCGCGTTGATACGGCCTACGGATTTTTATTTCGAAACTAATTATGGTGGTTTCTGACTTTTAGTTAAATTCGGTTCATGAAATTAAGAGATTAAGGTTTTCGAAAACAAAATGTGGTTAGGGTCAGAAACGATAGGGGAATACAAAATATGAGAATTTGGTTTTTGGCTCTGATTTGAAAATCGGAGATTATGATTTTGCAGGGACCGCAAAGTCTATGATCCGTAGAGAAAGATCGGTCCTTAATTCTGAAGTTCTTATCACTTTCTGATCAAATGATAATGAATTTCCACATTTTTGGAAAATGTGAGGTTTCTGGTTTCTTAACTTCTCATTCATGTGATTTCGGTTATCTTGACCATTTTCAGGAGTCTGGAGCTCGGCTGTCAAATGTCCGATCACTTTGAAAATTGTGGAAGGTATAAATCAGATCTAGATTGAAAACTTCACATTTACGAAATTTTTAGAAAATTCCTAGTTTTCCAGATATTTACCGATTTCTGCAAGACACGTGTTTTTCCCATTTTTCCGTACAAACGAGCCAAATTCTTGCCTTCATATGGACCACATCCAAAGAAACAATAATACTAGGTGTGAGAGTACATAGAGTTCAGAGGTTTAGAGTAATTAAAGACACCAATGAAAACTAGAGAAAAGGAGGAATGTGCCACACGAAAACGAGCAAAAAAGGTGTTGCATTCTATGCATACTTCCATTAGTTTTATATTTGATCTACCAAATTATTTGTGATCTACCCACCTAAGAAGAGCGCCCTTCTCTGGCACTTTTCTTCTTAGTTGTTTCATTGGTCAGAACCCCTCTTTCTTTGGGGCGGACAACCATTCTCGGTCTGTCCTAGTCTCTCCCAGCCTTCTCTACTTTTCCCCCTCTATTCTCGTACATCTTTAGTACCTGAATAAATCTGTATTCTATAACTACTATTCGTATTCCTTGAGCCGGCCAGAATGCCGGATCCTAAGGACGTAACAACTGGCGATCAGGCAAAGGCAATGGCTGATCTCACTCAACAAATCGCCTCCTTGATATCAGTCTTCGGACAGCTCGTCCCATCTCAAGCGACCACGTCAACCAATGGAAGTCAGCTCGTGGAATCGATTTCAACTCGGATTCCAAACTTCATATACGAGCCTGATGAGGATCTGACATTTGACAGTTGGTACAACAGATATGGAGACGTCATCACCAAGGACGGATCAACTCTCACCGATGAGGCCAAAGCAAGGTTAGTTTTATCTAAACTCAACACAAAAGAGTATTCTCACTTTGCAAATCGTATCCTCCCGGAAACTCCAAACTCCCTAAAGTTCGAGGACCTCTTTCCGAAGCTCAAGGAGACATTCAAGTCGACCTCATCGATCTTCCGGAAGCGTCAGGAGTTCCTACGCACAGAATACGATGGCTCATCGATCGAAGAGTACACTGGGCTCGTGTTGCGACGGTTCACGTCATCAGAATTCAAGACGATGACGGACGATCAAACATGCTGCATGGTCTGGATAAATGGATTAAGAGACAACAGCTACTCGGACATCCGTACAAAAGCACTTCAGATCATGGAAGCAAAGCCTACATGTACACTGCTCGAGTTGGAAAAGGAAATCAAGCGTCTACTAGATGTGAGAGCCGATTCCAAGAGTGTGTGCAGCGCTGCAAAGCAGAACGAGATCAATGCCATTCATCAAAAAGCATCAAGTCGGGATAAATCACAGAAGCCACCACCTTCACCTTGTTTCAAATGCGGAGGCAACCACTGGGCCAGAGACTGTCAGAAGCAGGTCAAATGCACTTTGTGTCAAAAAGACGGGCATATTGCCAAGTTTTGCAGAACCAAAAAACGGGATGCAAATGTACAAAAAGGCAACTTCAGCAAAGTCAAATCAGTCATCGTGGGATCGGCTACCAATTCGCAACGCAACCGTATCTACCGTGTCGTGACCATCAACGGAATGAAGATTCAGATGCAGTTAGACACGGGAGCTGATGTCACACTGATAAGAACTAAAGATTGGAATCGATTGGGTCGCCCATCTCTACTGGCACCCACTATCCAAGTCAAGTCGGCTAATCATCAACCAATAGCCGTCAAAGGATCATTCCAATGTCAATTCAATCTGAATGGAACATCAGCAACAGGAATCGCTCATGTTGCTGAAACTGGAACTCTTCTGGGAACCGACTGGATCTCAAAGGATAAGAAGCTCTGGAACATTCTCAACCCAAGTCAAATCAGCGCAGTTCATTCCGATGCTGGATCAGCATGCAACTACCTGGACATCACTCGGAACAGACTGAAAGCTGAGTTGAACAACGAATTTTCAGATGTGTTTAAACCAGAACTAGGACGATGCACCAAAACCAAGGCATCGCTCCTACTCAAACCAGATGCCAAACCAGTGTTCCGTAAAGCTAGATCGGTCCCATTCGCCGCATTGCCCACTGTGTCAGAGGAACTAGATCGTCTACAGCAAGCAGGCGTCATCTCTCCAGTGGATCATTCCGAATGGGCAGCACCAATTGTACTAGTCAAAAAGAAGAATGGATCGCTAAGGATGTGCGCAGATTTCTCTACGGGTCTCAATGATGCCATCCAACTGCATCAGCATCCACTCCCAACCGCCGACGACATCTTCGTCACTCTAAACGGTGGGAAGTATTTTTCACAGATTGATCTTGCCGAAGCTTATTTTCAGATTGAACTGGATGAGCAAGCCAAGAAGATGCTATGCATAAACACTCACAAAGGATTGTTCAGCTACAATCGACTGGCTTTTGGAGTCAAGTCAGCTCCTGGATCCTTCCAACAAATCATGGATTCGATGATCACTGGTCTCGAAGGGACAGCTGCTTACCTTGATGACATCATCATCTCGGGCTCAACAATTGAAGAGCACAACCAAAGATTGATGGCACTGATGAAGCGAATCAATGATTATGGGTTCCGGATCCGACTGGAAAAGTGCACATTCTTGATGGAAAGAATCACATTTCTGGGATTCATCATAGACAAAGATGGAAGACGTCCAGATCCTGAAAAGATCGCTGCCGTTCAGCAAATGCCACCACCTACCAACGACGGCCAAGTCCGTTCGTTTCTCGGATTCATTCAATTCTATGGATCGTTTGTCAAGGAGTTGTTCAGGCTCCGCCCACCACTGGATGCTCTCACCAAGAGGATGCCAAATTCCTCTGGACGTCTCAATGTCAAAATTCATTCGACCGTGTCAAGCAGATTCTCCAATCGGACTTGTTGCTCACACACTTTGATCCGAAGCTTCCGATCATCGTCGCTGCCGATGCCTCGCAATACGGTATCGGAGCAGTAATCTCACACAGATTTCCAGATGGCTCCGAGAAGGCTATCTACCATATCAGCAAAGCTCTAACAGCTCCACAGCGGAACTACAGTCAGATTGAGAAAGAAGCTTTCGGACTCATCAAGGCTGTCACGAAGTTCCACAAATTCCTTTATGGCCGCCACTTCACTCTGAAGACCGACCACAAGCCATTGCTGTCAATATTTGGAGATAAAAAAGGTATACCCCTTTACAGTGCAAACCGTCTCCAGCGTTGGGCTATCATTCTGCTCAACTACGACTTCACCATCGAGTACGTCAACACCAATCACTTTGGACAAGCTGATGCTCTGTCAAGATTGATCTCGGACCAAATCCAGCAAAAAGAATGTGAAGATCGTATCGTTGCTCAAGTCGAATCAGAAGTCATCACAAATCTGGTATCTGCCTGCGAGCGACTACCTGTGACTGCAAACATGATCCGAGCTGCCTCTAAGAAGGATCCACTTCTCAATCAAGTATATAAGTATGTTGTATCAGGTTTGTGGCCCAAAATCATTGATAAAAGCTCACAAATCTCTTTTTTCCACCACCGACGAGACCAACTGTCAATCGTGGCCGACTGCATCATGTTCAACGACAGGATCGTCATTCCCAGCACTCTCAAGGCAAGGGTTCTCAAAATGATTCACCGGGCTCATCCTGGAATCGTGAGGATGAAGCAGTTGGCACGATCTCTGGTATACTGGCCATCCATCGATAAGGACATCGAGAACATGGTCAGGAGTTGTGATCAGTGTGCAGCAGTCGCTAAGAATCCAATAAGGAACACTCTATGTTCTTGGCCAATCCCAACCGCTCCCTGGCAAAGGGTACACGCTGACTATGCTGGACCACTGGATGGAACGTACTATTTGGTCGTGGTAGACGCATTCTCCAAATGGCCTGAAGTCTTCCCAACCACATCCATCACAACTACAGCTACAATAAATATTCTGAGAAAAGTGTTTTCACAATTCGGAGATCCGCAAACGCTGGTAACCGACAACGGAACTCAGTTCACTTCATCGGGTTTCGAGAACTTCTGCAAGGATCGAGGAATCACACATTACGATCACCACCATTCCATCCACAGTCAAATGGTCAAGCAGAACGTTTCGTGGACACTCTCAAACGGAGCTTAGGCAAGTTAAAAGGGGAGGAAAACGCAGATACTGCCTTATATGTATTTCTGCAGAGCTACCGCTCAACTCCTTGCACCTCCAGCCCTAATGGCTCTACACCAGCTGAGAACTTCATTGGTCGCAAAATCCGAACATTTCTGGATCAACTACGCCCGAAAGACCAACTTCCCAACTCGCATGATACTGAGATGGAGAAGCAGTTCAACAAGCAACATGGTGCACGATCAAGAAGCTACCAAGTTGGAGAAAAGGTTTATGTTAAAGACTACCGTAACATAAATACTGCCACTTGGATTCCAGGTACTATCCAGAAGCGCATTGGACAAACTATGTACCACGTCGCAGTCAACGACACCGTCTGGACCCGACACACCAACCAGCTCCGACGACGTGACGCTCCAATCCAATTCGACGTGCCACTGGACACGATGGATCCAATCGATGTGACACCT